CGACTAGCAATTAGTATTTAAATGAAATGTCAGTCCAATATAATTGGAGACGACAACAAAACATTTCAATCAGCCAATATTCATTGTTATCGCTTTATAATAAAAAAAATACTTGTAAATAAATATTTCAAAATTTTAGTTTTCAAAACACTGTTTTAGTCTCTAAAAAAATTGTTCATTGTTTTTTCTATATTGTACCTATATTTATAAAACTTAAAAACGCCCTTTTGTTTATTAGGCCGCAATATACATACATTTGATCATTAAATAAATTAATAACCACAGATTAATGTCAAACATTTAAGAAATCATAATCAACCTTAATCACGACCAAAACGAAAGTAAATTAAAAAAAAAACAACAAACTACTTACAGAAAAGTTTTTCACATCCAAACTTTTTTTCGCACCAACAACGAACACTTCACTTCCACTTTCCAATTTTAAATTTGAAAGCACATCACTTTTTTTTTCTAAATAGTCGATTATTTCCCGATTCCGACTATTTACACTAGTGATGATTTTTTTGTTGATAAAATGATTAATATTTGTGTCGACGTTTGTTTCGAGCGCGCGCTATCTTGCTACTGGTTGTGTTGTCGGGCGGGCGGCCCGCCCAGATGTTATCTCAGAAGTACCACTGCGTACGATGCGAGCGATAAACGAGAGCGGAGCGAAGAAAAGTATAATTTTACTAAAACAATGTTGATTAAAAAATTATGTAATAGTACTTATTGTATTTAAATGTATGTAATAAAATATTTATGCTTTTGAGCTTTCCTTGCATTAACTAATTTGTCAGTACATTATGAATTTAACCCTTCAATAATATTAAAATATCATATTATGCTTTATATTCAATGTTAATCGTTGGTTTATCAATTAATTGTTATTTTAATGTCAAAAATTATTTTGATCAATCGTAACTCTTTATTAAAATAAATACTTAATCTTATTTTATGTAAGGATTATCTTTTTAATGTGATTGGGCAAATAGCTTCACCCATGAACACCTGCAACACAGGTAGTTCAAGAGCATTACCGGATCTTACACATTGTCCAATGAGTATTTTTTTAAGGGGGGAAAATCATCGTATGACTGCTCCCGCCTGGGTGGGGCGGGAGGGAGTGTCAGACTCTTACTGTCTAAAAACCACCCCGTTCCTTCTCCTACACTTCGAGCCGGAGCCCCGGTAACCCGTTAGGTTCTCCACGACTCCGAATCGGCATCAGCCCTGTTGGGCCCCATCCGTGGTGGTCTGATGGCTCTTTGAGGCGCGCGCGGAACGCGACGCGCCGTACGCTGAATATAATTTAATAATTATGTATGTAATTGGACAATTCCCATCACATCGTTTCGCTTTCTCCTATGGCTTAGGGCAGCCGTCCCACAGGACACCCCGTTGTCGTCAATTGTTTCACTCGTTAAGCACTTCGTAAACACGTCCGTTTTAATGATGAGAGCTGCAAAGGTGTCTGCAGTTTATACGTAGGTATACGTAGTAGGTAGTAGCCTCATACGTGCTTGTTTTACGCCAAGAAACTTAATGGTGACTCGAGGGTACAATTGAAGATGTTGTCAACAAATGTGAAGGTAAACAACGTAGTAATTTCAATATTTTTTATTAAGTATTTTCAATGCCTGCATGATCATCGTCATGTCAGCCCCAAGATATCCACTGTTGAACATAGCCATGATTTCAGATCTACCGACTAGGAGGAACCTGCTTCCTACATAGTGCATTCAGACTCTAATCCTTTATCATATCTTTGTTAGCAGACCAATAATACCTAAGCGCATCAAACAATGCGCATTATTCATATTGAACCTTAACTTTCAATTATAAAGATCATTCTACAGCTGCGTAATACTTGGATTTCATGAATATTTTGGGAATAACACAATTTAAACTAGAATAAGTACAAATCTTCGTTACTTCAGATAAATGTGTCACCGCTCGAATAATTAACTGCAACAAGATGAAAGCATCAATCGTAGAAGTGGCGAGTTAAACCAACTTTTCACTATGACTCACTTAAACACGTCATTCTACGGTGTTTGTAACAAGTAGGTAAATTAAATGCTTTTACCCGATTACTAGAACTGAAATGTAGGATTTTAAACATAATAACATCACGCCTTTAACCCCCAAAGGGGTATGCAGAGGTGCACATTATGCCACTATACATTGTAACACCCACTTTTCACTATTTATGTTATGACTCCCATGTAATAGGGGGTGAGCCTATTGCCATATACCGGGCACAATTCCAGACTACGTGCTACTACTGAGAATTAAAAACCCAGTAATACTTTGCCCGACCCGGGAATCGAATCCGAGATCCGTTGCCCGGCAGTCGCACTTGCGACCACTCTATAACAAGCACTAACGACTACGAAGATAAGATTAACTAGAGTAAAATAGGTAGTAGGTAGTTATTGAAATTTTCTATTTCTTTATGATGAGATCGAAAACTAAATTTAAACATCTTCAGTTCGCTCTAAAGACACAGATGCGTTTCATGAATGAAACGAAAGAGGTTTGCCAGAAAAGGGATCTTTGAATTCCATTGTCGGCTAAAATGGAACGCCGAATGCTTTTTAGTTCCTTTGTGTCCACCGGGATACGACGACGTGAATGGATGAGCTGTACCTACATAGCATCACATCTACTCCTCACTGTAGAGACTTACTTACATATACATTGACTAAGAGGTGCATTTATTGTAGACCAACCAGCCAACCTATAAGAAACAAGATTAATTGCCACACGCTAGCATTAAATACAGACACCAATCAACTAGTACCTATCTGTATTTTACTTATTGACCCGGCAAATTTTTCTTACCCTTCAGACCTACCCTGGACTTCCACGAACATTTCAAAACCAAAATTACCCAACTCGCTTCAGCCGTTCTCTAGTTTTAGCGAGACTAACAAACGGAAATTCATTTCTATTTATATAGATACATAATAACATAATACATAGCGGAAGAATCAAAATTAGTAAGGATTTTTCCAAAGCACGCAGCCTGTCTAAATCGTGTCCCTTCAGAAAATATTGAGCGATTTCATTATAGTTTGACACACACGCCTAACGTAATAAGTTACTTCATTTAGTTAATTTTATTAGTATCTGGCTTAATAAACGACTTTACTGAACGTACCTAATTGGCAGTCATATAATTAACTTTAATATAATCATGCTGAATATGATTTTACCTACTGATAGAAAGGTTAAATGTGACAGGAAAGTCATAAGAACGTCTCACATCTGTGCCGATGCCGATAATTAAAACGAGTCTTGCATTAGTCAACTTTGAATATAGATGACTTGAAAACTTTGATTCAAAATTCTTGATATTCGTCCTTTGTGACACAATTGAACCAACAAAACTGTATAACTAAAAATTGTATTGTGAACCTGATTGAAAAAGAGTAACCTATAGAATTTCTTACTCGTTCTTCTTCATAGAAATCTACATCTTCGAATGAGCTAATAGCTTCAGTAATTTTTTTGTTGACGTTAAAAAGTGCTTTCCTGATCTAATTGAAATAAATTATTTTGACTTTGATTTTGTAGTTGGGAGTGGTCCAAAAGATCAATACAGATCTCCCCTATCTAATGACACTCCCTCACTGCTACTGCTACGTCTGAATGTAAAATGCTTTCACCGGCAAACATCATTATTTATTTACCGACACATTCACAAGTATCTAATGTATGTAAGATCCTATCTAAGTGCAAATGCACCGAGCGAGCGTGTGAACGTAGTTTCCAATGCACTTCAAATATCGACCGCTGCAAGAGAAAAATAAATAAGTAGATGCGATGCAGTTACCAGTATCACATCACTACCTTTCTAAGTAAAGGATATAGGTAGGGTAAGTTTGTTTGACAGCATATTTAACAGCAAATATTCACATAATAACTACTTATCTACTTACATGGACGCGTAGACCTACGATATATATTTTAGATGTCTCGGAATCCAACTCGTGACTTGCCGCGACACATTCCACAGCACCTGGTCGCTCAGCCGCTGTGCCAACCGTGCAGTTATCCCTTCAAATCAGTAGTCAACAAAATAGAATTGTCACCTCGTGTTTCGTTAAACTGAGCGATCATAACAAAATACTAAACTGTAATCACAAACCTACAAAATATTATTATGTTATGATGACCCTTAGATATCTGACAAATCGAGGTTAACCTACTCACGATTTCTGGAAACTATCTCTCAACAGTGTACCTCGAATCATAATTAGTAGACGAGTACCTAGTATATGAAAGCCAGCCCAAGACTTCATTAGCGCGGATCAAAAGATCACCGTGGACTTACTTATTCGTTAATTAAGCGATAGGTTTGTTATGAAATGTGAAAAATTAAGTGGTTTATTATTTGCAGCGAGATATAGGTACTGAATAATATATGATGTTTGTGTGGTGAAGTGATAACCCCCACTCGACCTCGGCCATTGAAACTGATAGCACGCTGAGGGCGAACGGGAAACTGGACGAATGACTAGTTGTCTGAAAAATGGGAAAGGTAGATGTGCAATACAGATTGCATGAAAAATAAAAGCCCTAACATAGGTTAAAAACTAGAGCACAAACGTTGATCCTATCTACTTAATAGGTAGATGGATCTAAAGTATTAAAAATTACCTACCTACTTATTGGTGTTAGACAAATCTTCCTAGTTTTAAACTTAACGTTACTATAGCACACATTATCTGTCTACAGAAAATCTTCATGGACCTTACCCTCAAATAAATACTCGACATTTTGCAGCAGGATAGTTTGGAACTGGAAAATAATTTATCCAAGTGTATTGATACACACAATATTACACGCGCCATTAAACTCCAGCACCCAAACATTCCAGTAATAAATCAGTGACTCAATATAATCCAGTCCATAGTCCGTCAGTCCGTCTTACGGTAAATATTCCATTCTAGTCGTATCACCAGTATCTCGGTGCGGCATTCGACTACGGCATGAACACCGGACGCAGTCACACGTGCCCATCACGCTACAAACAGGCCGACCAGCATCACAGATCCGCTTATGCAATGATCGCTGAAGCGCTCGGAGTTTCGTTTGACTGGTATGTGATGTGTACCTACTACTTTCCTATAAAATGTGCCCCTCTATATGTGGAGTATAAAATCCTCTATATATGGAGGCTTGTAATTAGCAATTTGTCAATACTATACTCTTATAAAATCATTTTCAATGTATTAGTCTGTAAGCCTTCTTAAAATAAATAAAATAAATAAATAAAAAATCAATACTGGTTGCTATTGAAATTTTTAATTTTTACAAGTAATAGATGCGACCGGCGAGCGTATTATAAATACCTTTTTACACAACAACACACTTTTAGTGCCTGAAAGTAAAACACGATATTTATAACGTTACGGTTAACAACACTCGTCAAAAGGAGCTCTTTTTTACGATTTCTAAATTCTTTATTACTGGTTATATTTATACATTTCAAGGTAATTATTAAGGGATATACAAATACTTAAGTTATACAATAGTAAAAGCCAAATTAATTAGGTGTTGGTATAAATAAAATTCCAAAGTTGCTTAAAAATAATCGATATTTATTTAATTTTTTAACTTAAAACCATTTACATTGGCATTTAGACCTATATTATTTTGCTCGAATAATTTACCAAAGAGTGAACTGTACAATTCGTTTTTACTTTCATCTGTCCAAGACACTGATTTCTCTGGAGCCATGAAGTTTACCAACTTATTATGAACCACATACTTTATCTTTCTCCCTTTGGAGGCTTTTGTATCGACTTTTCTTTTCATTTTACTCCTCATTTGTTGCAATGCAATCCATTGACGACTCAACTGTACGGGGTCCGAAATGTCCGCAGACTTACATTCAATTAATTCTCTAAGTAACTGATGATAGAAGTCACTATCATCAAAGATTTCTGGGATATATTCATCATTGTCTTTACGGTCTCTTGTGACTGGGTTAACTTCGGCCTCATTTCCATTTTGGTTTTCGTCTTCTGGAAGAGGTCTTTGGTATCCTATAATGTCATATTCAGACCGTTTCAGCTGTGTGCGTCTCACCAACTTTTCTCTATCAGAAAGTATGTACGATATCTGTTGCAAGACTGTATTTGTTGGTGTGTTTTTAATATTTGTGGCTGTTGCGAGACGTGTTTTGTCGTTCCATTTCTGTATGGAAGTGTCTCTAAATGTTTTAAATGCTTTGTGCGAGTTTGAAATGTCTGACTCGTAATCTTCAAGTTTACGTTTCTTGGCTGGTGTGGATTTACTAGTTTTATTTTTAGGTGTTTGGACTTCTTTCACATTATCCTCTTCAGCATCAGTGTCTGATGGAATTTCTTCATTATCTGTGTCACTTGGTATTTCTTCATCGCTATCCTCCTTTATTTGTTTTGTCTCTGCCTGTTGCTTGCTGAGTTTTTTATTAGATATGGTCTTTGTTTCTGGATATTTACTTAATAGTAAATTCTGGAGTGAAAGTAATCTGAAAAGTAAAATAACAAACATTAGATCAGACACAAGAGAAACCTATACACAAACTGTTAATAAATTACTACAAGAATAAGAAGAAAATCCTAATGTGAGGCATTAAAAAATCTGTTTACTTGGTATTAAGATCATTTAAAATTTAAATTCATAAGAAATGAAACTTACTTGTCCAATACATTGGAGATATTTGCTTTAGTAGCATTAGTCTCCTCAGCAAAATCTTCATTTTCTTTCAAATTACTATAAGTATCAGGCATGGGCATCTGATTAGCAGTGTTGACACATCTTTGAAGGTGTATCCTCATCTCCAGCAAGTTCTCCCAGAGCAACAACTGGTTCCTAACACAAATACCCTTCTTGGCTTCTTCGGAAATGTTTTGTTTTTTAACATGCTCAAACTCTTCTTTCATTGGTTCCTCCATTTGACTGATGTCAAAGCCTTCGCCTTCTTCATCATCTCCATCATCTTCATCACTGCCTTCCTCGTCATCACTACCAGCTTCCTCGTCCTCTGAATCATCATCATTCAGTTGCTTCTTGAACTGCATAATGCTGTAATCATCACTTTCGCCTTCTGATTCAGAATCATCGATATCTGAATCCTGAGCCTTAGATTTTAGCTTAGGTAACTCGATTTCTGAATCTGATTCATCAGAATCTTTTGAGACATCTTGTTTCTTCTTCTGAAGTTGGGTTTGGTATTGCACCTCGTCGTCATCAGAACTGTCGTCGTCGTCACCAGATTCTTCGAGATCCTTTCGTGATACAACTTGCCCTTCATATTTTTTACTAACCTCGCTCAATAATCCAACGTTCCTTTTACGAAAATCACTGATAGCCGCCTCAACTTCGCTGTCTGAAGATCCAAAATCACCACGCGTAACAGTTTTAGGTTTTGTACCAAATACTTGATCATCCTCTATGTCGGCACGTGGTTTTACAGTCAGAGCATCTGCTATTTTATCAGATAATAACTTTTGCGGTGTTTTCTTCTGTTTTGGCTTCATTGTAGTATAATATTTTCTATTAATTGTAACCTACAAAACCTCGAATACTTTCACGTGTTTATGACAGCAAAACTTCGACAAACGAATGACATTGACAACACATACACAACAGTCGAATGACACTATTGACAGTACAGTGACGTTTTACAAATATCGTAAAGGAACTAGGTAATTCGCCTAACTTTTTATTAGTAAAATAGTTATTAGTTATACCTATAGTATATACAACTTAAAATATAACTTACTAAAAACTAAAATATTAACAGCTTAAAAAAAGTAATAATAATAAAAATGCTATCTTATATTTGCCTAACTAACTTTGAAAACTAAATTGATTGAATCCTTTTCACGATCATGATTTTAATGTTGCTCGTTAAATTAAATTATTTGATATTAACAAAATATTTATCAATACTACTTTCATTATCTCTTAAAAATAGTTTACTCACAAAAATATTAATAAGTATGTGATTTGTTGCTTGGTTATAAAACTACTTTGCCTTGAAGATTCGCTACATTTCGAATTTTCGTAACAAAACGAAACGTGTCTGACACTTGCTTGAATGATTGACAATTGACAAATTGACATTTGAGCTAGCTGGCGCGAAAATTATTTACAGTTTGCGACTTTGCGAGGCAACATTCAACGATATTTTTGTAACAGTTGGTGTTTTAAAAGTTAAAAACCTTGAAATGCCTAGAAAAAGAGTGATGCCGAAAACTGTGACTTGGTTGAGTGAAGAAATACATGAACCACAAAGTTTAACGCCTACATTTCATCATTACGAGTAAGTTAACCTGTAAATACTTCAAAACATCTCATTTTTCGTATTCAAACTACAATAATGTCCATAATTTTTGCTCAGGAAATTTCAATTTGAGAATATTGTTGGAGAAATTGGCGATTATGTGCTTATTTCTAATGCTGACGCTGCTGAACCAGACACAGAAGCTGGTTGTGATGCGGCACGCATTCTATCTTTGTATGAAGACCGCAGTAACACCACCGATCCGTTTAGAGCTAAAGTTCAATGGTACTCGAGGCCTACTGACCTACCTAATTGGTGTTTTAGTAACATGGAACCAATCAGCTTTCATGAAAAAGAGGTAAGCATCTCATAGTGTGATTACTAAACTTAATTAATTAATTACATGTATTCTGATGGTATTTACAAGTTAACTATATTATAATGTACCTAGTTACCTGAGAATTACTTCAAGATCTATTAAAATTTAACTGATTTTATAATTTTCGCAAATTCCAGGTGATAGAAGACCATCGCCCCTTCAATCAAGATGTATCAATAGAAACTTTCTTCAAAAAATGCACCATAACCCTCACATTTACAAAAGATATAGATGACACTATGAAGGAACCCTACCATTACATATGTAGGTATAGACTCATGAACATGAGTAGAAGGAAAGTACAAATTGAACCGGTTCTAGAACAGGAGAGGAGAGCCTTGGCCTTATTAAGTACACCAAGTAAAACTCCCTCTAAAACAGTAACACTAAAAACACCGACCAGTTTGGTCAAAAAAATGAGCAGAGTATCCATCTCAGAGAAGAACTGGAGTGTCACTAAAAATGATGGCACAAAATTACTCCTCAAAAGAGCCATTCTAGCTGATAAAAATGAAAAGGATTCACCAAAAGAAGTCACACCAAAAGCAACACCAACAAAGAAGGTCACAGCAACACCAAAAAGTTCTAAAAAGTTAACAAACAGTAACATAGAGGATGTGTTATCTATGGAATTAAAAGAAAATTCTGATGATGAGATCCCAACATTGATTATAAGGCAGCATGTACCGACTACACCAAAACGAAAGCAGTCTATTTCTAAAGTAGCCAATGAGGAGACTCCTAAAAAGGTTTTAGTGTTTGAAGATGAAGAGATGAGTACTCCTACTAGATCAAGCAGGGCAAAGGCTAATGTTAATTATCAGGAGCCTGAAGAATCTCCTAGGAAAAGAACTCCTAGAAAGATTATTCGTAAGACATCTGAGAGTGATGATGACTTTCGACCAGCTCCTCGGACTCCCAGAACACCAAAAACTCCAAGGACACCGAGAACTAGGACTCCAGCACAAACTCCTAAGCGCAGTGTGACTAAAAGAATTCTAACTAGTCAACTAACACCAACTTTGCATAACAGAGCACATTCTATAGACAATATTGATGGTAAAAACTGTTAATACCTTTCTACAGTAGTGCTACATATTCTAGATTCTATAATAACTTGATTTTATACATTTACAGAGTTTCTCAAACAAAACAAGTCTTTACCAGGCAGAGAGGGACAAATGGAAGAAATATTGTCATTTGTTAGAACAAAACTGCTAGATGGGACTAGTGGGTAAGTGTTGTTTGGTACAAAATGTCTATACTTGAGAAATTAAAAACGGAAAAACGGAAATTATTCATATTCTTACCCAGCCAGCCTAACATATGAATAGCCCTATCTATTATATTTATCATTTTATTTGGCTCATCACAAAAGATATATCATTGCAATTTAAACAAAATCACAAACTAAACTAAACTTTCTATATTCATGCCTCTTTCAGCTGTATGTACATATCAGGAGTGCCTGGTACAGGGAAAACTGCAACAGTGTGCTCAGCTCTGAAATACTTGAAAGAGGAAGTGGATCTACCAGACTTCCAGCTGGTGGAAGTGAATGGCATGAGGATAGCAGAGCCTAGACAGGCTTATGTGCAGATATACAAACAACTTACTGGTGAGATTTACTTAGATATTCATAACTGTGAGATGATATATCACTACATAGTATAAAACAAAGTCGCTATTCACCTGTCTGTCTGTCCCTATGTATGCTTAGATCTTTAAAACTACGCAACGGATTTTGATGCGGTTTTTTTTAATAGATAGAGATTAGAGTGGTTCTTAAGGAAGGTTTATATGTACATATAATACATGCATATTGCACCCGTGCAAATCCGGGGCAGGTCGCTAGTTGTACATAAATAATATCCTGGTCCTCAATAACTAAAGTCTCTGTGTTTTTACAAAGTTGTAATTGTCATATTGAATTTTCAGGTAAATCTGTTGTATGGGAACAAGCTTGCTCACTATTAGAAAAGAGGTTTACTAATCCAGGACCTAGGAGAACACCAACTGTGCTGCTAGTTGATGAGGTAAACAAAAATTAAGTAATGAAAGTAGTATATTTGTATTGTAACTTTCGTGAGACATACTAAATAAATTATTATGTTTTCGGCTTACTCACGTAGTAATTCGACGAGGAACTCGACTAGTTTCAAGCCGAAAAAGTAGTATAATTTCTGCTAAAAAAAAGAAGATTTATTTGAAATCGGTTAGAATAAAAACTAAATATATTCTCCTCCTGCCTAGTAATCCTAACATCATAGTCTGATTATTTTTTTCCCTGACCACATACAAAAAATCATCGTCATGCATCTAATAAAATATATCTGTAACTTTCAGCTCGACGCTCTATGCACACGCCGTCAAGACGTGTTGTACAGTATAATGGAGTGGGCGGCACACAACACTGCCCTGCTGACAGTACTGGCCGTTGCCAACACGATGGACTTGCCCGAACGAGCGCTGGCAGCCCGTGTGGCCTCCCGCCTCGGTCTCACGCGCCTCACCTTCCCGCCCTACACACATACACAGCTTCAGAACATCGTGGCCACGAGGCTCTCTGGTGCTAATGTCACTGCAGATGCTGTACAACTTATTGCTAGGTATGTTAAAAAATTACAGCAACTCTGTTCCGAGATTGGCTTTAATGAGCAAAAAATGCAATTAGTGCTTAGGAACACAACTAAGGCACAGAAGTAAATACTACTATAACTTACTAATACAGCTATTATAGGAGAGCAACATTTTATGTTTTTAAATCCAGAAGTATCCTACTCTAGTTTTGATTTCACAAATTTCATTCCATAGAAAAGTGGCAGCAGTGTCAGGTGATGCTCGGCGTGCGCTTGCCTTGTGTTCCCGTGCGTTAGAACTGGCTGGTCCAGACGGCGCTGGACTGAAGGAGGTGCAACAAGCTCTAGGTGAAGCTGCCTCCAGTGCTGCTGTGAGAGCGATAAGAAACTGTTCGCCTGCTGAAAGACTCATGTTGAGAGCAGTTGCTGCAGAGGTAAAATTAGTTATCAATGCTCAGGTTTTGATACTGGTGAACAAAACATTTTGATATATTGGATTTTTCTGTTTCCCTCAATGACACAGGCATGAAACACTCATTTACATTAGCATAACATCTGCCTTTTAAACCCGAAGGGGTAGGCCGAGGTGTACGGTTACGGCACTTAATGCCACTGTACAATGTAACACCCACTTTGTCCCATGTAATAGGGGGTGAGCCTATTGCCATATACCGGGCACGATTCGAGACTCCGTGCTACTACTGAGATTTTTTGAAAAAACCCAGTAATAGTTTGCCCGACCGGGGAATCGAAACCGAGACCCCTTGCACTTGCGACCACTCTGCCAACGAGGCAGTCATTTACATTATGTAATTTATAATATTAATACTTATGTATTCATTTCATTACACAGGTGGAAAGAACAGGCTCAGATGAAACAACATTATCTCGCGCGCTTCAAACAGCAGCTGCAATAGTGGCCCTCGACGGTCGTCCTTACAAAACAGCGCCCTCTATCCGTGCTCCCACGCCGTCGCAAGCACAGGCAATATGCACCAGATTGGCTGCACTACGACTTTTATTACTAGAACCAAAACCAGCTGAACCACGACTATTGTTGAATATTAGCGCCGATGATGTGCATTATGCGACTAAGCAAATTATTGTTTGACGAAATAAACTTAGTTTGTTGAGTAATATCCACATGTATAAGTGTCAATTTGTTTTCTATCAAGTGGAGTGTACATAACTTGACATTGACTACACATGTTAAGTATTTATTAAACTTAGATACTACTACTACTACTAAATAAATGTCAGTACAAAATGAGCTAAACATGATATAAACTTGTAAAGTAAAAAAAAAATTAAGTACACTTTTAATGCAATTCTTGACATTGATCTGTTATTTGAAATGACTGATAGAGTAAGTTTTATTTATTGTGATAAATCAAATAAACTGTTGCAATACATATACAATTATGTTATCAATGAGTCCCCAACTTGTATAATCTTGATTAGCGCCTCGATATTGTTGGCCTGCACTGCCTTTCGACTTGCTGCCACAACTGCTTTGCTGTATTTGCCAACTGAAAATAAAAAACCATTATGTCTCTTTAATCTTCACTTATATTGTGATCTGTTATGTCACGAGTACACAGAAATGCGGGTAAACCTTTAGTCATTCATATTACATGCTACTATGTATTGAGAAAATGGAGTTGATGACAGGGTATGAAAATTAAATAATTGCGTAATTAAAAAATATTAGACACGTATTTTTTTTATTTTGTTTATAGATAAAACAAACCAAAGTTTAGGAGTGGAGGTTAAAACGTAATTTCTTAGTGTACTGAGAAGTGACGTCACGCGACATTTCAAATCAATATAAATAAATCTTCGAAACTATTCGTTTCCGTGAGAAAATAAAAAATACGTGTCTAATGTTATTAAATAATCTACCAGACGGAAATTAAAATAAAAAACTATTCTCGAAAAACTAAAAAAATTCTATAGTTCTCTGACAGCACCAAGAATCAAATCTGGGTCTTTTGGGCAATTGCATGTATGACTGAATATTTTACTTTACCTCTAAGTCTTACAGCTTGTTGCAGAATAGTGTGCAAACTCTTCAGCGAAGTAACTGCTTGCTCCTGAGTAGAGCGTCTAATGTAGCATCCCGTGAGAAGCTCCTCGTTCAGCATTACAACTTCCTTGTACCGGTTCAACATCTCTCTCCTAAAAATAATTTTTTTTATGTGTTGCGTCGACGTTTACTGATTTTATATGTATTCAATCGTTAATTCTTAAGTAATAACTCATAATTATTAAGTTGAAAGTAAGTCGTTTACAATATTACCAAACAAGAATATATTTAAAAATAAAATTCTTACAAATCATAGGCTGCAGCATCCTGAGCCGCTGGTAACAAAGCAGTGATAAGTTGAGCACGCTCTGCAGTTTCAGCAGCTAACCGCGATCTCATTTCACCTATTTGTGATACATGTTCCATTTCTTCACGAAGTTTTTTTCGGCTTCGGGAAATTGTGCTACTGACTAAAAGTTTATAAAAATAAGACTTTTTTAAAAATCCCGCCATTGCGTGTCTATGATACTTTGACGGATACCACGAATTTAGTCGATTTTCGTAGTGTCACCTCTATGGTTAGTCAGAAATGGCGCCGCGTCAGTTAGCTGCCGGCGTGGGGGAGTTGTCAAAGTTGTTGAACTGTTGAAACCGGGTGTTGGAAAATAACTCGTGAAAAACAAATAAAAATGGTTGAAAACAACGATATCGAATTATCCGAAGCAGAGGCAGAACAATACGACCGTCAAATCCGCTTATGGGGCTTGGAATCTCAGAAAAGGCTACGTGCATCGAAAGTTTTGATCATCGGGATAGCGGGTCTTGGTGCTGAAATTGCGAAGAATGTTATTCTATCCGGTGTTAAAAGTGTGTGCTTGTTAGACAACGAGAAGTTGAAGGAAATTGATCTGTATTCGCAGTTTTTGGCACCACCGGACAAAATCGGTGAAAATAGAGCAGAAGCATCACTAACAAGAGCGAGGGCTTTGAACCCAATGGTAGAGATTACATCGGAGACCAAGTCTGTTGATGATCTCCCTGACAGTTACTTCGCGGAGTATGATATTGTTTGCGCTACGGGCTTGAAGCAAGAACAACTCGAGCGTATAAACAATGCTTGCCGCGACAGCAACAAGAAATTCCTATGTGGTGATGTGTGGGGCATGTATGGGTACATGTTTGCTGACCTCGTCGACCATGAGTACTCTGAAGAAATTGTTCAACACAAAGCTGTAAAACGTACTGCAGGTGAAACTGAGAAGAATGCTCAGGAAACTGTCAGTATCACTGTAAAACGGAGAGCAATTTATGTTCCACTCAAAATGCGTTGTCTGTGGACTGGATGAAGCCAGAGTACCGTTCTAGACTTCGCCGAGGGGACCCGTCGTACTTTGTAATGAAAATTCTGCTGCGATTTAAAGATGAGTATAACAGGAACCCAGACCCAGCTAAGAGGAAAGAGGATACTAAGATTCTGTTACGTATGAGAGATGAGCTTGTGAAGGAACTATCTCTTCCAGCTAATTTTATAGTAGATGCGTTACTTCTGGATGTGTTTGGCACAGTATCTGGAGCCGCTGCTGTCATTGGTGGTGTCATCGGCCAAGAAGTTGTAAAGGCAGTGAGCCAGAGAGAACCTCCACACAACAACATGTTCTTCTTCAACCCAGTCAAATGTGTAGGTTTTGTTGAACTTTATGGTCAATGAATTAATTATTATTCAATATAGAATGTAAGCAGAGTCGATTAAGTTTAATAAATTATTTAAGTACATGTTTTGTGTTTTGATTTACCATTGGTTTGTTTGTGTAATGTAACTATTTAATCAGGATGGATATTGTAAAGGTTTATTAAAATTAAAGTAAATACTGATACCTGCAAGTCTGTCAAATTCAAATAGACGGCTAAACTTTGTATCAGATCTCCAGCCAATCTTATGTCATGGGTGCTAAACTTCACTCGGCCATCAGCTGCAAAATCCATGTATAAGTAAGACTGGTCTCTCAAACACAGGAGATTTATGTGAAGCTCCTTTGTTTCTTCTGACTCAATGTTCAATTCTTCTTCCAATAAAAAGTTCTGATTCACCCAGATACATATTCTCTGAACTCTTTCTGTGATGCGAAATGTTACGTAGCTGTTCCCTTTATTTCTCACTTCTTTGGTGAACGACTGATACATCGCGAATCTCGGGAGTTGTTTCGTCAACTCGAAGATGTGAAATTGTTCACTGTCAGGATAGCCTATAAGAGCCTAAATATATTGAAATAAAATTTTATACTTGTTATAGTTTAGTAATAAGGTACAACTAATAAAGACGCTTGCGTAAGTACCTTAATGTGGACATCAACCGGTACGTCCCGCGGTGGTCTTAACGGTACATGCAGTAAAGACCTCAGTTGACTAGGCTGAGGGTGTCGAATGAAGGTCTCCCCACTTTCAAAAATACCTTCGGCCAGGACAAGGGCTGCGCGAACTACTGTCTCATTGTTAGTTGATACTGCGAGTTGAAGGCAAGCCTAAAACACACGTAAGGTGCCATACCGCATAAGGAAGCAGTAATCTACGACGAACGACACTCATTTATCTGGTGCATAATTCAAACGACGTTAGATCCTGGATAGTGATAGTTACCTCCTCGGGTGAATGCAGGATAGCCACTTGCAGCCTCGTATTAGTAGGCATAGCTGAAGCAGGGCGTTCCAGATTCTCAACGCTCGCACTACCACTGGTTGCGTTAGCTTCATAGTGCTGCAGTTCTACCATGAGCGCCTGCTTCTTGTTGAACAGCTCTGTAATGGCTAACCGATCCTCATCTGAAGGCATGCTCTTGGTGCCCGTGTTGAATCCAGTGTTTTCTTGGTAAGGCGGATACCCTAATACTGTTGAAAACATTAGTAAAAGTACCCACTGGACGTACATCCGTATAGCATAGCAAATATTCACCACACACACCTATCGCATCAAAAAGTCATCCTACCTTCGCCCTTATCAGACACACAGACAAGATCTGGAGCACCAACAGATCGGTAGTCAGCCAGTAACATTGCAGCTGCATTAGCACGCATCTGAACTCGCCTTAACACTCGTCCAGTGGTGCCTTCACGCCAATCTACGCGCCCGTTCGACCAGCAACAAGCTAAGGTGTCTCCTGACCATTGGAGAGCCAACGCATTCTGTTTCGACTGCAAGACATATTTTAGGGTAGATAAGTTTTTAATAAGTGGCCATCTTGGATTATATATTTCTAAACCTATCTATTTTCATTGATACCTTAACCCTCCACAGTCGAATGCCCTCTTCATAAATGCCAATAGTACCATTAGCTAGTCCATATGCGAACCTGACTTCGTTCACTGGAGACAGGCACAATATGGGCCCAGTTTCAGCAATTTCGGCTATAAATTGATTGTTTTTTAAAACCCTAATAAATGAGTCATCGCATCCTATGAGAAGCTGTAAAGAACAAATTGGATCTTTATAATATAGATCTCAGTCATTAGGGGACATAGGTCATAAATTCATAATACATCGACTTTTTCTAAACCTACCTCATTTTCCCCATCCTTATCAAAATCGAAAGTGATCATTGCACATACTTTGCCGCTGACGACATTCCAAAAGACCTCATTGCCTTCCCAGTCAATGGCCTGTACAGAACTGTTGCCGCCGATTATCGCCAAAGTCTCCGCATGTTTGCCAAAGAACCCAGTTATAATCACATTGACTCCATCTGGTGCCTCTTTAAAAAAGAGATCCGTATTGTCGTGCACATCGTATGCTGCAAGTGAATATTGTTATGCTCTGCTTTCTGCACAAGAATTTCAGCATTAATACTTACTAAGATGAAAATAATTTCTCACCCAGTATCTGTGTAGGTGACCCAATGAGTAGCATATCCCTACCAGTGTCAGGGCGCAGAGGTCCAGCTGCAAGGGCAATTACAGCCTGACTGAGATTCAGTTCAGAGACTTCTCCGTGAGCTTGCGATCTTTGCGCTCTTCCACTGACCATACCTCCATGGGGATGATGGATAATGATCTGCGGTTTAAGAATACCTACATTAATATTTAGCGCTGATTATAAAGTTATTTGTAATTTCTTTATGAAGTTTATTTCTAGAAGATTACTTATGGAGGAAACATTAACTTTATCGTATCCAGCAGACGCAGTGAGACATGGGTGCGTTCCATCATACTTTGCGATCGTCACCACATCTGGAGTAATTTTATGGTTTAACTCCAGCTTAAATACTGGCTGAACTGTTGATAGCTGCATTTTATTACCGAAAGTGTTTTGTTTTGGTTAAGTTCCCTATTTTTAAATGCATTGTTTGTAAAATTCGTTTCCATGACAATGCATAGACAATACACATAAAAATATTAGTTTTATGTAGTTGAAGAATTGTAGAATTTGAACGCGACCATAACTTGAAAACGTCAAACTGACATGATTCAACTGTCATTTAAAACTGTAATGTCAAGTCGTCAATTTATTTTTATGGCATAATGGCATTTTGTTTTACGCGTTTAGAGAAATAACATGCTTACTTAAAAATTGTGCCGATAACACTATCTTAAATTAACGCGGAAGTGGTATGTGCTAAAAGAATTAGTACCAGTGACCAAATGGGTAGTGAATTGAATCTTGAATCTACGGAATCCAGGTATTTAGTTAATTTAAGTTTTTATTTTGTTTTTCGTGTATTTTCGGCATTTTATTATTGCGCAATTGCTTTATAATTTTCGTATCAACCTTGCTTATGCTTCGGCTTAAACTATTTATAGTGTCATGTTGTAGAAGTTGATATTGTTGTAGGTTTTCATCAGTGAGTTCTTGATGTCGCTATCGTCTGTTATGCCAAGATTTCACATTCCGTGTAGTTCTATATGGACCCACTATCTCATGCCGTTCATTTATCATGTCATTATTGGCTTCTTAAGGTAATTTTTTCACCAGATTTTAACATGTGTTATTTTATTTTTTGCACTGCAGTATTCATTACAGACTCGCAATCACAAATTTAACGATAGTTTATTAGTATTTATATATAATATGTTTTAGATACCTATTAAATACCACACAGATTACATTCCATACAAAAATACCATAATCAGTTTTATCAGATGTAAAATTTGTAAAATGGTGAGGAAATTAAAATTAATAACAATATTACACTATATTTATAAACTGTTCCATATTCAAAACTTCAGTAATAATTACTTCCTTATTGTGGTATTTCTTTATTTTATTGATATTCTAAATGAAATAATATTTTACCTTGATTAACTTGTTTTATTCCAAATTAGCATTGTTAAAAGTGTTATATTCAAAGTGGTAGAAAATTATTTATTTACACTTAAATCGAATAGTACATAAAGTGATATAAGTAGTACATAGAGTATAAACACCACATAGTCTAGACTAAGTAGTGAGAAGGTTAAGAAGGATTAGGATATGGTTAGTAATCATAGCTTGTCTTTATTTTATTTATTATTATTACAAAACGAGATATACCTAGGTTTTGGATATTACAAAGTATTGCATCAACTATTAAATATTATCTCACACTATGATATGGTAAAAAAATATCCGAGTCACCATGAATCATAAGTTTTTTAAAGTAACTTGTAAAAATATATATTATAAAGGTGTAGGCCAACATTAATATTACCTTCTAATAAAACCACATACAACCTTCTAAAAATTAATTAATTTACCTACATAATAAAATAATAGATATATTTCATCAAATAATTTGTACAAAACAAATTAACAAAAAACTATAATTTTTTAAATATTCAATTTCATACAAAATAGATTCATTCGTAGTTCACATCATAATTCTCATTGTCAACATTTTTTTTTTCTACAACTTACCATACAAACAATAATAGACTGTATACATAATAACATAAACATTGACTGAGTATAAAAAAATCAATCTGTCATAACATCATTATGTTGGTATTATTTCAGAGTATAAAGTATTCAGCCAGCACCAATGGTTTACGACAATAAGCAAGTTTTTTATTATGAACTGTGTTATTTTGTGTGGTATTTTTTTTTGCTGAGTTTTTAAGAGAAACTATACAATGGGCTTATATTGATTAATACAGATACATTAAAAAAATACAATAATTTTCAATGCTTTACTGGTTGATTTTTGTCTAGAATTATAGTATTTTTGAGTGAATCATGTATGTCCGTACTTTATAAAAAACCGAATTTTGCAAAATATTTCCGATAGTTAAAATATGAAATGATAAATTGTATGTATGTAATGTAAACATTGTCTATTTAAATTTTCATACAATATTTTTACTGACTGCAAAAATATTGAAATGGCAACGTCACACATAAAAAATTTAAATTACACTTGAGACAGATTGCTAGACAAATTATGCAAGTCATGATGATATCTACAATGATGCAATACTGTTCAAAATTCTCTTAATAACTGGTCTGTTAGCTAAAGGATAAATATACCTTAGTCATAGACTTCAATTAAAAAAAAACTGTTAACATTTGAATTTACGCCTGCAGGATTTATCATATAAAAAAAAATACATAAAAAAAAAGTTTGGTAATAAATTACATTGGTAAATACACCAGGTACCAGACTATTTGCAGTCAAAATAAATTCTATTCTATTGTCCATTTAATTGATAGTCAAATAATGTATCTGTTGACACAATATTGTCATTGTGTAGGGAAGTAGTTTGTATGTGTGTGTGTGTTTGTGTACCAGACAGCTTGAATGCATAGATGACCCACATGTACTGCAATCTATCATGACTCAAGAGTATTTCATTTAACTGATAACATTATTTAATCATTATTTTAACTAGAACATTTAACAATATGATTAATATACCATAAAGTTTTATTTTTTTATTACCAGGCATGATTTTAGCTATTTAATCTGTTATTCAAGAGTTTGTATCATTAACAACCTCTTTGGAGGCTTGTGGTTTATATTTTTGATTAAATGTCGATGGTTTGTTTTCTTTTTAAATTTCAGTACAGTTACCAGGACATGGATTGGAACTGTTATATCCATTATATGGAAGTAAGATGTATTTCCAGTTGATGTTCACAATTTTAGTTTTTAATGCTTATTTTATTTATTTTGGGCTACTTTTCGATATTTATTTATTTTAATTTTATATTACTAATTACGGGGTACCATTACTGACAGAATAATAATTATTATTCTATCATTCAGTAGTATTTATAATAATCTATATATATAAAAGAAAGTCGTGTTAGTTACACCACTTATAACTCAAGAACGGCAGAATAGATTTGGCTGAAAATTGGTAGGGAGGTAGTTTAGAGCCAGGAGACCGACATAGGATACTTTTTTACCAATTTTTTTTTTTACTTTTTACCTAAATTCACGAACGGGGACAGGAAAAAATGGGATTACGCGTACGAAGTCGCGGGCCGAAGCTAGTATATGTATAAAATATTACATTAGTGGAAAACTAACCAGTTTGCGAATCATCATATCAGCCACCATACGAAGTCGCGGGCAGAAGCTAGTTAATTATAATTATAGGACACTGAATGATCAAAATATAATATTTAATAATACTGAGTCCTAGTTTTTATTTCTTTGACACTTTAGACAGTGTTCAAACAAATAGTTTTATGTCCAAATACTCAAACGCCTCTCAATTTGAAGTCGCGCTTAAGTATAATTCTGTCACTATAAATTCTTTATAAAATGAAATTAAAATGACAGAGATGGCACGATATTTAAGTTCAGCTTAAAAGGAGATTTTTTAGATTTTTTGGGCCTTTTCTGAAAATGCGATGCGACTAACGATACGTACCATGTTTATTCGTTGGATTTCAGAAAAGGCGATCGATTATCCGAAATGTGTCCTTTAATAGCCTTTCAGTACCTACTTTTATTCAGGAAGTCTTGAATAGTTCGAGAGTTTATCGCAAAAACCGGCCTTGCTCTTTAAGCCACTCTTATTTATTAGATATGCCTAAACGATAGAACATTTTTTAATCCTATTTATCTTACTACATTCTTTAACTAAAGTTCGCGGCGTATTAAATCACATACATTCTTCAAAAAAAAAAATATCTCATAGAAAATGAATAGGATTTCATCATACTTTTTCATAAAAAAATATCATAAATTATACAAAATTCTTATATGTCGGCTACGGATGAATTTTATTCTAATTTTGGGACTAATAATAGTCGGTGCCGTGACTGGGCATATAACTTGTATTAGTAAACTATATGCCGTGACTCACCAATTACTATAACCGCCTTGGCCTTGGTCAGCAACTAGATTTGACCTTCGTTACTTTGACCGGTTGCTAATAAACAAAGGGAATTATGTAACTAGTGGAATATAAGGCTTTTAATATACTCTACGATACCCTTTCAGCTGTTAGCCCTACATACGATATTAGGGTCCTTAGCAAATACAGATTATAGATTTTGTGCTGTTGTTGATAGTTTCATCATAAGATAACATCCATGCCTGCCCGAAGCGGTAGGCAGAGGTGCACATTACGGCACTAAACGCCACTGTACAATGTAACACCCACTCTTCACTATTTATGTTATGAGTCCCATGTAATAGGGGGTGAGTCTATTGCCATATACCTGAGAATTTTTATTTAAAAAAACTCAGTAAACCTTGCCCGACCCGGGATACCCTGTAATATTTGCCATCCCGAGACTGCTTGCCCGGCAGTCGCACTTGCGACCATTCGGCCAACGAGACAGTTGATAGTTTCAAACCTCTAAAAATGTAATATGCGCTATGTCGCACTGAACTATCGGCAACTTTGCGGTAGTTAGTACTTACACTTTATAAAAAACGTCACACTCGCTAGCCACCTCCCGTGGTAAAAAAAGATGGTGGTTAAGAAGAAGAAGCTGCTGCGGCTTCTTTATGTGGTCCCCTAATTTATTGTAGTTCATGTTATGTTTGCTTCAAAGAAAATTAGGCAGGTACCAATACTTATTTAGAATGTTTTGTAGTTTATAACTTATTACATGTCTTGAGTGTCTACCTATTTACTTCTAACACATTTCCTGCATAGTCATGCTCTGCTAATGAATCCTCTTTTGTTATCCTCCTTAATTATCTTCTTAATACGGAAACACAACTAAAAATATTTATTTATAACAATTATGTACGCCAATAACAACTTTATTTCATTGCTCTAAGTATGTTTTTTATAAATCAAGGCTAGTTGCAATTGGCCTTTTAGATATTACATACTATTTAATTGTTTGTAAATAAATAAACAAATACAATTAATTTATCTATCTATACCTAATAATACACAAATATTATAATTAACCTCCTGTTGTTACAAATTTAAATTTTTATTTGCATTTTTTAATTATTTTTATTTACATTTATTGTGTGTATCATGTGTGTGAGCCTTTAGAAATACAGTGTATTGTTTATTGAGCTAACTAATAATTGTAGTTATTTGTATTGACAAATAAATAGATTTTTTAAATTTAAATATCTCTTAATGTCTAACAAAGACTTTGTTTATTAACACCTTAAACGCCATGGGGGACAAGGTATGGGCCACGATAGCGGAGGATTTACCTTCAACAGTTTTCTGTCAGCAGTCAAACTGTTAAATATTTTTGAAAGATAATTTGGAGTACTGTTTAATTAACAATTAATGATAGTTGGCTCAAGAAACAATCACCCTTCACCTAGATTTGAAAATGTCCATAACAATATTGTTTTTAATGTATGTTTTGTTTTGTTATGTTACAGTTGGACCGGAGGGTGGTTCAGCTGGACTCGCCAGTCAGATGCGATGCTACGAAATGTTGAGAAAAAAATATTATCATGTAAGATATTTAACATTAACATAACATAATATCACGCCTTTTATCCCCGCAGGGGTAGGCAGAGGTGCACATTACGGCACTTAATGCCACTGTACAATGTAACACCCACTTTTCACTATTTATGTTACGAGTCCCATGTAATAAGGGGTGAGCCTATTGCCATATACCGGGCACATTTCCAGACTCCGTGCTACTACTGAGATTTTTAAAAACTCAGTAATACTTTGCTTAACCCGGGAATCAAACCCGAGACCCCCTGCCCGGCAGTCGCACTTGCGACCACTCGGCCAACGAGGCAGTCGAGCAGTGTAAGATTTACTTTTTATTTATTGTCATTTTTTGTGCTCTAGTAGGTAGTTTTGATACTCAATATTTAGTTACCTATTAGATTGATTTAACATTTGTTTGCAAATACATAAGTAGCTCTTATATTCCTTCTTTATTAATGCCTGTACGCCGATTAAAAATCAGCAAACCACAACTTACTTTTTACTTTAGAAAAATTAATAAGTTGAACCTATGTTTTTAATGATATATATGTGGTATGGTATTAGTGTCTGATTTTGGCCCTGGCAAGAAAAGAAGCCACCCGATTGATAAAAAAAATGCTTTACTACCAACAAAAAAATGAGCAGATGGTCTATAACACAAATGTTATTAATGGGCAAGCAATTATTGTCAACTCCCGTCCCCTTACATAACATACTGGCGGAACAAAGTCATTACGACACGGTAATGTCTCTATAATTGTAGGGGGGACACGCATGAAGCAAGAGCTGAGTACCTAGTGCGAGTTAACGTGATTGACACGTTTGTCGTTTTGCGGTCTGATTGGCTCTCTCCAATAAACCGACCAATCAGAGGACTAATCGCGGTAACGTTGCATTAACGTAAAAAACCTCATACTAGGCCGTTTGTCGTGTTTCCTGTAAGTAAGCCATCCTCCTCTGACTGAAATAGAAATGACCAATAAGACCTACAAACCTTCAAGAAAAAGGCTTTAAAAACCGCTTTATACATGTAAATCTGGTTATGGTATCACCAATTGGGTACTTGCCAACTACTCAAATTCAATACTTTTAAGAATTGTCAAAAAACGTTAGTTTTCTATGAATTTTGTACGAAATTGTGTATTGTGACGTCACGTTTTTTTAGCGTCAAACAGCGTACTTATTTCTTAAACATTTGCTGGCAAAATACTAAAATTAAGTTAACTAAAAATCGCGGGTTACTCACGTGAATAATACTGAGAAAAGCTTATTTTAGTTAAAATTAAGTTGGTCATAAAATCAATAAATGAAAGTGTTATTATTTTTTTAGTATTCTATATTGTTTGTTAACAGTCGAAATAATTTATTTTTGACTAGCGACCTGAAGCCGGGGTCTTCGCGCGGGTGCAATATACATGTATTATACACATAAACCTTCCTTAACAATCACTCTATCTATGAAAAAAAAACCTCATCAAAATCTGTTGTGTAGTTTTAAAGATCAAACTATCAAAGCATATATAGGGACAGACAGACGGCGGATAGCGACTTTGTTTTATACTATGTAGTGATTAAGAAAAGTACCCAATTACAATAAAGTTAAAAAAGTATTTAAATTATTCACAAATGGGAATATCTTGATGTGCTAGTGTCTAGTTTGTACCTACAATACATTATCTAGATAAAACTAAGTACATTGGATAATAGATTAAAGTTGAACGTACTTCATGCGTGTTTAAAATGTCCTATCTACAATCTACTGATTATAGTTGTTGAACAATTCAAGTATTGTTAGGTCGGCGCTGAATAATGGCTCGCTGGTTGGTTACTATCTACGTATATAGACGACAGTCGGTTTCTCTATTAGAGGTCCTAGACAGAGAAGTTTTTAACGTTGCCCCTCACTTGGGTTTTATTCTTGTCTCATGTATTTATCTACAAATATTTTCGCTTATTTAGCACACGCATCTGCCATCATATCCAAACCTAAAAATCCGTTCCGCGGAGAACCTAACGGGTTAACGGGGTTCCGGCGCGACGTGCAGGAAAAGGAACGGGGTGGTTTTTAGTCAGTAAGAGTCTGACACTCCCTTCCGCCTCACCCAGGCGGGAAAAGTCATTCGATGATTTTCCCCCATTAAAAAAAAAGACGTTTGAAACCTTGATAAAGATTATTCAATAAAACAAAAAATATGGTTATCTAACTGGTCGCTGAAAAGCTTCCCATTAAATAACGCAAAAAAAACACAAGTGCAGTTGTAAGATAAAGAAAATCTTTGAATTTATAAAAGGCCCAATTCGTTGTAACGCTCAATCAATATGAACTTTAATAGCATTGAAATAACGTCGAAGGTGAAAAGCTCTAGTCCCAATAGTTATCGGTTAATTATTTTCCGGGATGTAGCTCTCGAGATAAAGGTCGGTGCACACTGATAACGATCAAGTAGGTACGCGGTTATCAGTGATGCGTGGCACATTCTAGATTCTATACAATAACTAAACTTTCAATTCAAGTGGTATCTTGGACTTTGCGATGATTGAAGCGGAATGACTCAAATGACTCGAAATGTATCCAACCATTTATAGTATAGACTTTAGTAGCATACAGACTTTGGAACATGATGGCATAACATCATGATTAAAGTTCATTTTATAAGGAAACTAATTGCCTATTTTAATTTTTAAAACTGCAATAGGTTTATAATCTTTTTTTATATTAATTAATATCACATTTGACGTATTTTTCTCTCTGTCTAGTCCTCTTGACGACAAACATTTTATATGGTTGAAAGTTCTATAAAACACGACGTACATACGAGTTTACCTATCAAAGAGCATCAAAGAAAATTGATGCGGATGTCAAACCGCTTTCTCTGTGAAGCTTAAAGTGGTTTTCACCTTATAACGAGTATAATTACAGCGAATAACTATTAAACAGCGTGTCTGGTTTATTGAAAACTATATAAATGACATTGAATTAGTTTGGACCAGGACATCTACTATAATACTAAAATTTTTATGACATTTGCTACCTAGGTGATTCATAGGCGATAAATCAATCATCCGTCCTCCGCACTGACCCCTGAAGGATCCGCATAAGTTCAATATCCAATATTATTGTAATATTATCAATTTTCCTACTATAAATTAGTTGATAAGATTGTCGTTATCAATATACGCGTGCATACTGCGACCTTACTAGGACGGCAGGCGATTAGGAAGCAAATCCTGTAATACTTATTCACCTTCGCATTTCATCGAAGATAGATTTTGTGTCAGCTGGTTTTTTACTACTTTGTCGAAGTGTAAAACATGAACTACGATCAAGACACCTAGATGTCTTGGGTTTATTAATTGTAATAATATACATATCTTAGCAACAACACACAAAGGGACTAGAATCTAGACCGATGTAATATTATATCATTACTATGCTTATCGTAGACTATATCTTTGTATTTCCTACCTTTGAAAATTAATACTCATTATGTTTTTAATAAAATTTCCTGAGCACTCATTAATCAAGATGTAGATCTTTATTTTCTCTAAACTATTAAAGCGTAATGTCCTTCATTGGCTCTTTTTAAATACTCTTATTATCTTATTTCAGGTTTGAAAACAGCGTACAAACGTTTCTACGTGGACATAGGAAGTGTTGTGGGCCAAAGCGACAAAATATGGACGATATCACTGAACGAGGAGTCCCCCAAGACTCCGCTAGTATTGCTGCACGGGATGGGCGCAGGCCTAGCGCTGTGGTGCCCTAACCTAGACTCCTTCGCAGCCACGAGGCCAGTGTACGCCATCGATTTACTAGGTAAATAACCTTATTTGTTTATTTGTTACTATTTTTAGTTGCCACGTGTAATTACATTGTTTAGTAAGATTGAATTTGTGCCAGTTTTATTTATGGTCGTCGTGTAATATTTGTTGTTGTTGTCGATACCTATTGTATTTTTATATTGACTTCAAAAAGGTCCAAGAATCTACAAAAGAGATAATACCTTGATGATGTTGCTAAAATTTTCCTAATCGTGGTTTCAGTTGAAAAATCTTGCTATTTTAAACTTTTCAAATATTTCTCTAAAGCAATGCCAACACCTATTATCTTTTTGTTTAATCCGTCGAGCGTCCGCGTTCCTTATGCATTTCCTTATCCTCATGCATGCAAGAAAATGCATTTATTTGGCCATTGGCACACGAAAACAAGGATCATTACAATAGAAATAAAACAAATACAGTCAAAATAAAAACAAAACATGAATAATAGATTTTTTTATAAAAGAGAAAGCAGCATGGAGCATTTTTTCTTATGATCCACCGGGTGCTCATAAGGACGCTCGAGGGGTTAATTATGTCCAATATCTATGTTATTTATAAACTATCTGCAGACATTTATTATCTTTTTTCATACATTATTTATTCTACAGGTTTTGGTCGAAGTTCCCGACCTAAGTTCGCGTGCGATGCCCAGAAGGCCGAAGCACAATGGGTCGAGTCTGTGGAGGAGTGGCGGCGTGAGGTCAACCTCGGACAGTTCATACTGCTGGGACACAGTCTCGGAGGGTACATCGCTACGGCATACGCTATCAAGTACCCAGAGAGGTGAGTTACAATAAATTGAATGATTACACTTAGTTTTTTAGTCAAATTTCCGTGGTGCTTGGCGACTGGGCTTTACCCAGTTGTACAGTCTCTTCATTGTGCCTTTAGGCTTATTCTGTCTCCTGCAGTAATTCACCGAGGGAAGTGGAAACTATAGTTTTTTCTTCTTCTCCTCTTATAATATCTTCTGATTCACTTCGTTGCGGGAACCAAGACAGTTACTCATGTCCCTGGGACGCGCTGGACCTCAATGTTCCGGTGTTTTCATGGTTGTATCTACTGTAGATACTGGCTTACAGGAGTTGCAGCGGTTTTGGGAGGCTGTGGCGGGCTTGTCCCAACTTAAAAAAAAAATTTAATGGTTCTAATTAGTATTAGTAAAGGAAATTTAATTATAAATGTCTCTTTACCTGATGCTCTGATGATTTTACAGATTTTTTTATTCGAATTATAATAACGTGCATATTACTCATAAGTTAGGTATTCTAAACAAGACTTATGCATTGTATTTCAAAAGCGAATTTATTAATAATATTTCGATTATCACGTCTCTATTAAAAGTAACCGACTTTTCATCAGCAGCTGTAGCCAAATGCCATTAAGCGCTTGTCTACATGTAGAATAGAAAACCAAATTATATAGAATTGACGTAAATTTTGATACTTGTCAGTGTCATCCCCATACATTTAGTTTTCTATTCTCTCTGTAGACAAGCGCGTTTGGCTTAAGGCACGGCTAAGAAATAGAGACTAATGTAATAAACAACCCATTTCCTAAATAACCCTATAGATGACTAATTTTTATTTTAATGTCCGTCTGGTAGATTATTTTAAATCATTAGACACGTTTTTTTTATTTTCTTACAGAAACAAATACTTTCGACGATATATTGATTTGAAATGTCGCGTGACGTCACTTCTATGTACATTTTATACGTAGAAATGACGTTGTAGCCCCCACTCTTAAACTTTGATTCGTTTTATCTACCTACGTATCATTTTCTTATACAAAAAAATAAAAAAATAGGTGTCTAATATTTTTTCATTACCTAACTTACGGACTAATTAGATTTTTAATTTTCAACCTGTCATCATTCCTATTTCAGAGTACGTCACTTAGTCCTAGCTGATCCTTGGGGCTTTGCTGAGCGTCCACAGAATGCGTACGAGAAGGCACAGCTGCCTCTCTGGGTCAGAGCCATCGCTACTGCAGTACAACCACTTAACCCTCTCTGGGCAGTCAGGGCGGCGGGCCCAGCCGGCAAGTGGCTAGTCAGTAAGACCCGTCCTGATATTTCGAGGAAGTACCTCAACTATGTACCCGACGCAGAGAGGGTTATACCTGAATATATCTACCAGTGTAACTCACAAACGCCTAGGTAAGTTACGAAACGCCTGTTGTTATTTTTATTAGAGAAATGAACTATCATCGTCTACATAATTATAATACTATATTATCTCTAGCAAACTCCGTTTCACTACCAGATGGCTTCGTTTTATGTAATATTTCGTTTGGTGATTAAAAGATGAAGTGAAATGAACATTTTTTTTAAATTTTATTTTTTATAAACCTCACGGAGCCCGAGACCTTTCCAACGAATATAAAACAGTGGAAATCGGTTCGTGCGTTCTGGAGTTATAGCGTCAGGAAGGAAACTCGACTTATTTTTATATAGTAGATTACTTTATTAGGCTTGTTTATATTAGTAAGCTGCGACTAATTTTGAACTTTAATGTATAATCTGTATTCTCTTCACAGTGGTGAAAGTGCCTTCCACACCCTGATGACTGGCTTCGGTTGGGCGAAGAACCCGATGGTCCGTCGAGTGGACGAGCTGGACCCGGCCCTGCCCATCACAGTACTGTACGGGTCCCGGTCCTGGGTCGACAACAGCAGTGGACAGGTGCTAGTGGAGCACCGCGGACCTAGCAATACTTTTGTACAGGTAATGAGAACAACTATGTTGTGATAGTAAAAGTAATTTTTACATAACATTACATCACGCCTTTTATCCCCGGCAGAAGTACACATTATGCTACTGTACAATGTAACACCCACTTTTCAGTATTAATGTTATTAGTCCCATGTAATAGGGGGTGATCCTATTGCCATATACCGCGCACTATTCCAGACTCCGTGCTAATACTGAGAATTAAAAAAAACCCAGTAATTCTTTGCCCGACCCGGGAATCGAACCCAAGACCCCTTGCTCGGCAGTCGCACTTGCGACCACTCGGATAACGAGGCAATTAAAAGTAATTTTTATCTGTAGTATTGTAAGATCTATGTATGGAATAGTACGATAATGAGCTCATTGTATCAGGCACAATTTCAGATACCGTGTGTTACACCGCTTTATATTATCGAATTTTCCATCCATCCAAATCCACTTACTTATTCTTTTGATTCAGCAATCCAAAGTGGATCTGGGCAGTTCTGATGTAATAATATTTTTGTCTTATCTTGTCATGAAAAATTAAAATGTTTAAATACTGAAGTTTGTACCTTCTCTTCGCAGGTAATCAACGGCGCCGGTCACCATGTGTACCTAGACAAACCTGAACTATTCAACAAGTTTGTATTAGACGCGTGCACGCGCGCAGACGAGCATGACCCGCGGCCCGCGCTCAAGGCTGTCCCCGCGGAGCCCGGGACAGAGACCCCGGCGCTGCCAGCGGGGGGCGAAGCACCCTCGACCACAGTCGCCACCACCAACAAGGCGACCGCCTCATCTGACGCAGCGCCCACATCTTGATGATAAACAAATCTTAGTTATATTACAATTGTTACGCACATTCGATTATGTATAGTTGCGATACGTTAATGTTGTACTGTTTTATGAGTTGAGCATGTGTTCATTATGGGTAGTCAATGGAGGCTCGTAAGGTGTCCAACTAGTTCACTAATTTACATGATGCGCCACAAAAACTGTTGGCCATTGTTAGGTTTATCTGCCCCTTATTTTTCCATTGATTACCACACCGTATTAAAACGAGAATAGTTTATATTGTTCTGTTTTAAGAGATCTACGAGTGTTTTCTATTTAGTCGATTTTTCTACAATCGACTAAAATCGTCCATATTTGTCACGTTTGTGGTAACACTAGAATAGGCCTAAAAACGGCCGATTGTCGTCAACTTGGACGACGTAGTAATTTACGAATTAAAGTATTAAACGTAATTGAATCTTAAAGAACCTTTCTAAGAGTACTAATACGCTTCTTTCAGACCAATTAAAACATATACACAAACTACTTACAAAATAGATAGATGAAAGCTAATTAAACAAATCTATTTATTTGACGGCATGATCACTTAAAATATTAGTGAGAATTGCCTTCAATTTGTTTTATGTATATTGTAGTACAGGTTACGGGTAAAAACTATGATTTTGTTCAAGTTTGACTGTAATTAAATGTTTTAATTATGTTTGGAAATATATTTTACTGTTAGTCAACAGAGTTTACGACACGACCAATATCCTAGTTTAATTGTAAGTATTGATGCTGTCATTCTGGTACTGCGAATTTTCAACGCCAATTCCTACTAGTGTAAAATTACCTCTTCAAAAAATTGGTTTTACTTAGCTAGTATTAAATTTTCCTCTAAACTCTTTCCTAAATATAAGTAATTCTCTGTCCTCTTATGTTCGGCATTGCCTCTTGTAAGAAGTTTTTATACATAGCTTTGAGTAGCTACGAAGTACCTGCTTCCACCAGATAAGGGATCACAAAATATGAGACTTTCTATTGTATAGTTTTGTTAAGACCGTGTGAAATGTTGTGTGACGGCTCAAAATTATCAATTTGGCTCATTGCTAGTATTTTTGTCAAAGTGACCTTAACATTAGATATCGTTTTACTAAAAGAGGACCCTACTTTGCTGGGTACGTATTTGAAACACGTGACTGCCAAATTTCATGAAAATATTTTTTGTACATTATTTTGATTGATTATTATTATGCTTTATATTGGAAGGTATAGTGCATCGAATAAATCGGAATTATGTGAAGCTGTACGTAACATTTTGCGAAGATGTTTGTCTTGCAAGCACAACGGTGTTGTTTGACTATATCTAGATTATTGCAAGTTCGTTGAGTATTGTTGTTTAGCCACAGGCTTTTTGATACACGGAATGAATTATTATGTAAATAAAGATAATTTATTGAAAACGTATTTTTTATTTATATTTACACCAAGTGGAAAATATTGAAATATCTCAGAAACAAGAGGTCCTAGCAAAAATAACGATATTTTCGAGCCCCATATCAACCTACTCAAGGACATATTTTCTAATTGAGGCATAGTGTGGGAATGAACTTTGCCAGTAATGGGCCCATTTGTAAAATCTCAAACAAATTTTAATGAATACTAGTTAACAATTTTCGAGGATAGCAGAGCTTAGGGCAGTCTAGACTGTTGGTAAATCCAGGAAGATCTCAGAATGTAGATCTATTGCTGATTTTCAGGAATGGGGTGGGTGTGACCTACTTCTCTTTAGTGTGACCTTAGCACAACCAGGCTCAACATTGAAGGTCCCGTTTGATAAAAATGCCGATGCGTTATTCAACACAAAACTTGTCGAAGTACGACTAGTTAAAAAGTATAGAAAAAGGAAAAGTATAGAATTCGTTCATATTCTTATCACTAAATAGAAATAAAACCAAAGTGAATGTAAAAATATATGGTTTATATTTGAACATATTACAAAATGGAACGAAATTAACAATGAAATCAACACAAACATGATATTTCAGATCAACACAGTCGCAGGTGGGTGTGGGATACTATCGTCACCTTTCCTTCATCTTGTAGGTCACGCAGCGCTTCGTCCAACTGCTCTCGAGATACAGTCTGAAGAAAAAAAAGTTATATTATTCACTGATAGTCTTTAATTTAACACACACATTACAAAAATGGGGATATCTGACAAAAAGTCGTTTTGCAAAATTGAACCGTTTCCGTAGTCTAAAAGGTTGCTTTTGCACAAAGTTTGTATAAATAAAAAACAAAACATTCTAAAATGCAACAGGCTTCGCAGAAGACCAATGCGAAGAGGTAGATCGCATGTAAAGTTTCACAAGTCACTTTTGGAAGTCAAAATACTTTTAAGTTTTTTTTTATGGCATTAGCCGGTAAACGAGTAGACGGATCACCTGATGGCAAGCAATCGGCGTCGCCCATGGACACCCGGAACACCAGAGGCGTTACCGGCCTTTTGGTGATTAGGAGTTTGAGGATCGTTGGGGATTCAGGGATTGGGGAAGGGGAGGGTAATTGGGCCTCCGGTAACCTTACTCACACGACGAAACACAACGCAAGCGTTCACGTCGGTTTTCTGTGACGCCGTGTTATCACTCCGGTCGAGCCGGCCTATTCGTGCCGAAGCATGGCTCTCCCACAAGTGTAATAAAAACGGTCCGATAAACTAATTTAAACTTACAACTTGTGAATTAGCGTTGATTTCCTGTAGTAACTTGGAGTGTGTGATAGTGTGTGGCTTGGAGTACGGCTGAATGAGTTGTTTGAGTGCCGTCACTAACTCCGCGCGACGTCTGCGCGCCGCCGCGCCCAGCCCTGTCGTCAGGATACCCACGTCGATACGACCTGACGCCGGGTCCGTCGCCGACTGTTTCAGGGCTTCACGATGCAATCTGAAAGAAAGGATTCATTTTAGACTGAGGATAACACATATTATTGCAAGTGCAACTTGGTAAGATCTAATAACGCTCTATGACACGGGACTCATACTGAATGGGTGTTACATATAATATGTGGACCTTTTTTATATGTATGTGTATCTTAGTATCTTTAATCTGTTTCTTTATACCTTCGAGTAATAAAAGGCGTAAATATTCAAGATTTAGAAAGTGACTTTTTAACCTTTGATAGCAAGATTAATGTTTAATCGAAGTGTTTTCCTACACATCTTAAGTCAAGTGAATCGATTTTGTACCCCTGAAAATGTATAAGTAAAAATAATTACCTGGTAGCTTCATCAACATCCAGTATCTCAACGACAGGAGACAGTCGCAGCCTCGCGTGTGCCTCAGCGAGTCGGATGAGAGACTCCAACTGCCGCGGGTAAGCAGAGATCTGGCCACGACCACTGCCCACACGTCTGAGAAAACACGACACATTATAACTTCCCTATGACTTCACCGATTACAAACATATTTTACAAAATGTTATAAAAGTTAAAATGCTCTACAGGAGACCAATACGTCGAAACTTTGACTCTTCATTATTTTTCAATCTGCCCCATCTCCACAACCTCAATGCTTAATCGCTAACCCGCAAAAGTCCGGTAATGCACTTGTAACTCAAGTCCATGGGCGATGCCGATTCATTATCATCAACAGTGCATTGCTAAGCAAAGGCTTCTTCTCACACGGAGAAAGTTTGAACAGATTCCATACCATTCAATCAGGTCATCTGTCTGCTGGTTACCGCCCTATGCCATAAAGAGAATAATATGTTATTATTGTTACCTCATATCAACGTAGGCGTCAATGAGCCTCTGTTGAGCAGTCTCGCTGAGCGTGGGCTGTACGTGTTCCTTCGCGAACGCTATGTAATCACGCATCAACGACATCTCCTGCAATAAACATCAATATTATATGAGTAATTGTAGCTTTACTTCAGAATAAGCTATTCTAATTTAGTTATTTAATCTTTATTGCACATACAATGTGAATTAGCGGACTAAATGCCGTAGGCATTCTCTGACAGTCGATCATTGGGGTGGTGTAGAATGTTAAAGCGGTAGGTGCCAAATTATTGTAAAGAAATCATGAAGAGGATAACAGAAGGTAATAAATAATAAAGAGGGAAGACATAATTGTTATAATCAATAATATATAATAGGGAAGGTGACTTATTTTAATTTTAATATCAGTCTGGTAGATTATTTTAAAACATTACACACGTATTTTTTATTATTTTACAGAAACGAATACTTTCGACGATATATTGATTTGAAATGTCGCGTGACTTCACTTCTATGTACTTTTTATACGTAGAAATGACGTTTTAGTCCCCACTCCTAAACTTTGATTCGTGATATCTAACTATCATTTTATATACAAGGAAATAAAAATATACGTATCTAATATTTTTTCATTAGCTAACTGACGGACTAATTAGATTTTTAATTTTCATACCCTGTCATCATCCCTATTATGAAATAGAAGTTTCTGTGTCGGTAAAAAGCTTTATAAAGAAGCACACAGATTATAGCAGTTTGACAAATAGCTGGTGCAAATGTTCAGCGGTTTTGATACTTACAATATTATCGTCCCCTTCCTGCGAGTTGGTAAAGTCTTTGTAGTAGAGCGAGACAAGATGTGAGGCGAGACGTCGGTCGAATACCTCATCTTGTGGGTCCAGTACCAGGAATATAAGGTCAAATCTAGAGGAAAAGTCATTAACATCAATGATTAATTAGGTTTTTTTTTTCAAATTAAAATTAATTTAAATAAGAAATATAAAGAAAACATTTCTTGCCCTATTATCCTTGTATTTTTTGTCATCAATGTTCCATGAACCAGTTCAAGAATAGTATCAGCGAAAAAAAGATCCAAACCAGACTAAACACATCACTAGACAGGTCCCAAAGAAAATCATAGTACCATGACCATTATTAAGGCTTTGACTGCCAATAGAAAAACTGATGAAGGCAAATATTCCACTAACGTCAGTCACCAGTGACTCTCATGGCATTTAATGTGTGGTAACTAACCTGGACATAAGTGTATGAGGCAGTTGTACATTCTCAACAATAGTTTTGTTTTTGTTCCACTGCGACTCTGCAGGGTTGGCGGCGGCCAGGATCGACGTGCGAGCGTTCAACTGACAGATGATACCTGCCTTCGCGATTGAAAGCGTTTGTTGTTCCATTACCTAAAGAATAAAGAGATAGATGATAAGAATATACATATATATAAAGTACTACCTGACCCGGCACACTTCATACCGTTAAATTCTTTTCCCTTTTTAAACCTTCCCTGTAATTCCACGAACATTTCAAGACCAAATTTAGCTAAATTGGTTCAGCCGTTCTCGAGTTTAGCGAGACTAACGAACGAAAAGTTACTATATTTTTATTTATATAGATATTAGTACACACGGCTAAAATCGGCCGAGTCGCTGCATATACTAGTTGCTATGACCGCAACTCAAAGGTAAATCTGTTCTAGATGAATGAAATACATAACATCAACAGCCTATAAATGCCCAATGCTGAGCAAAGCCTCTTCTCACACGGAAAAGGTTTGAGCATTAATCACCACGCTTGCTCAATGCGGGTTGGCGATTTCAAACTTATTATTAGAAATTATAAGCCCAGGTTTCCTCACGATGTTTTCCTTCACCATTTGTCAGTGGTGTCTAAATAATCATAGAAAGTACATATGACTCGGAAAAAGTCACATTGGTACTTGCCGTTAGTAGGTTTCGAACTAGCATCCTCATGTATGAGAAGTGCGTCATAAACCTCCGGGCCACCACGACATACATAACACGACGAGACTATTGTTGCCAATGAACCAGGGAGGTAGAAGTCGGTAGTAATGTGAGACGATAAAAATTATAAGGCATGGTATGTAAAGAAATTTTACGATAACTTACTTCGTGCAACACACTGCGTGTAGAGTCATTCATCTTGTCGAACTCATCGATGCAGCAAATACCATTGTCTGCCAGCACTAGCGCACCACTGTAAACGAATGTAATTGTGATTTATCATTAGCGCGTAATTAAGTGTTAGGATACAAGACCCCAACTTAACGCGTCGTGTGTGTCGCGGAGAACCTAACGGGTAACTGAGGCTCCGGCTCGACGTGCAGGAGAAGGAACGGGGTGGTTTTTAGTCAGTAAGAGTCTGACACTCCCTCCCGCCTCACCCAGGCGGGAGCAGTCATTCGATGATTTTCCCCCCTTAAAAAAAAACCGTCGTTGTCTAAACGTGGATCCACGCGAGACACAATGTATTTTCTATTGTGTCTCATATACAGGCATTCAAGCGGTTAAACTCATTTTAGAATTAGTAACTAGTTTACCGCCCGGGGTTTCACTAAACAGTATATATAAACCATTATAATTTATGCACTGTATAAAAACTGTATGGTACATTTACTTTATCGCGTTGATAGACAGACGTACAGACAAATGCGAAAAGGGATTTCTTTTTAAAGTAAGTAACCTTTACGGCAGTAAAGTACGTATATATTTGTAAAACCTCATTTTATAAAAATTCGATTTCGAGATTTTATAAAATGAGGTTATTTATGATTGCACAAGTTTAAACCTTAGTGGATTTTGGTTGCTATTTTAAATGGATAATCCTGTACTTAATATAAATACAATAAAATAATAAAAAATACTAACGTCTGCAACACCAGCTGTCGTGTATCAGGATCCTTGGTGACGTATGCGGTGAGACCGACGGCGGAGGAGCCTCGCCCCGACGTGTACTGAGCGCGGGGGACCAGCCCGTGCACCCAGCGCAGGAGCTGAGACTTACTTGTTCCTGGGTCCCCGCATAGCAGGATGTTTATCTCAGATCTGAGATAAAGTAATCAAATATTATTACTGGGTTTTAAAAAAAATTTCAGTAGTAGTATGGAGTCTGGAAATGTGCCCAGTATATGGCAATAGGCTCACCCCCTTTTAAATTCTAAATAGTGAAGAGTGGGTGGAAGAGAGAATGGAAATAGACTAACAATAATACAGGTACTATATAGTATAGGCTTACCACATATAACATGGGGCTTGGCAACATGATGGTAACAAGTGGTTGTTTGTTATATAAATATGGGTACTTCTGCTTGTAGTGTAAATTGTTACCTGAAATGTGTCCGTCCAGCAGCATTGAAGTTCTTTTTGGTCCCTCCCAACAACTGCAGTAAGCATCCCTTCTTAATGTCCAAGTTCTCGTAGATGGAGGGAGCGATGGCCCGCGCCAATCGCTCGTAGCAATCCGGCTGAGCGGACAACGCTTTGAACATCTCAATACGTTCCGGTGCAAACCGATGCTCTTTGCTGTAAAACGAAATGTGAATATGAAATAAAATTACATTGACCGCGTTAAACGCCACAGGGCAAAATTGGCATGGCAATTACCTAGATTTGCTTTCAAACTTCAACAGTTTTCTGCTGACAGTTAAAGGGTTAGTGATAATTGTGGTAAATGTGCAATTGCAATATTTAAATTTCTCGTGGTAATCTGAAAATTAGGTACATCATTCTAATAACGATGTTTTGCTGTTTGGTAGTTTGTACATCATACATGGTGGCTCCATAGCCTATGTTTACAGGACAAATGAGAATCACTGTGTGTTGATATGTATTAGTAATATGTGTATGCTCACCCCTCCTCAGTCTCGAGCAGCCTATCGCTGTGCACCTTGCGGTAGTGCAGGGCGTCGACGTGAGTGCGATGGAGCGCCTTGAGCGTGGCCTTGCGCGGGTGCAGCGCGGCGGGCGCGGCGCGGAACACGCCCGTGACGCTCACTCGCTCGCCGGCCGCCACCGCCTCCACCAGCGCGCCGTGGGCCAGCACGCTCACTGTCGCGGGGGTACGACCCGCTGGCATGTCGTCTGCGGATATTTATTATAAGAAACTTGTAGTATGTAGATTGACGTCTGTGTAACTGCTGCTAAAAGACTTTGTATATGAGCATCTTTGGCGCGTAAGGAGTAGTAATCTTCTATTACATACAATCACTTATAATTGCCATGTAATAGAAAGCAAGCTTATTTCCATACACAGCAATTTGAAAATCGTAAACTTCAACAATTTCTCTGTGGACCTGAAAATAGCGCTTGCGACGACTAGGCACAAAGTACCTACTAACATATTGTACCAAATAAAGCAATGGTCATAGTACTTACCAGGCGACTCCTGCAGCTTGACAAGCTGTTTGTCACTGAAGTGTGACCTGTTATGTATGAGCGTGTACGAGTGCGCCGTGTTGCAGTGCGAGCAGTGCGCGGGCTCCGGCACCCTGCCTCGCTCCAGCTCGGCTGTGGCCGCCGCCCCGCATACTGCGCAGCGGAAGTATGCCTCGCGCATCTCTGGGACTATGCTCGACGTACGGATCACCATGCCTGATAGTGTCACCAGCTGGTCTATGTCTGTAAGAATATAGACGTTGGTTACAATCTTTGTATTACAAAAAAATAAAGAATTTGATCCTTTATCATTTTGATATAAAGATCTTAGAAGATAGTACTTCCAGTTTTATATTTGACTAGCCGATTTTTATTTGTCGATGATTATTTGTCTGCGACTTCGTCCGCGTAGAATATGAATTATGGGACATAACTATTTTTTGTTTCAATTTTCCAAAATAAAAGTAGTATATGTTACTCCTAAGTACATCAGCCAACTGCTAATAAAAGTCTCGTCACAATCGGTCCTGCCATTTCAGAAATTAACCAGTACAAACAGATAGACAGACAGACAAAAATTATAAAAAATATTATTTTGGTATGTATATCTTATGTATATTCCTAAGCATGTAGTAAAAAGTGGTTATTTTAATATTAAAAACAGACACACCAATTTTATTTATACTATATAGACAATGCAGAAAAAGATACCCAGAAATAAGGCAACATTTTGGAAGATTTCATAAAGAAACATGTAACATAACAAAGGAAAATGATCCTTGTCTCTCCAATACTAAGTCCAACATAAATATTTTAGAGTCTAAAATACCGATGATCAATGTAGGAAATATAACTAACCTTCAGGGTTCAAGTCACGCATGTGTCGCTGCGGCGCGTTGTAAGGTCGTACTTGTATCTGATGCTCCAGTACTGCGGCCGGGTAGCGCTCGAAGAACAACTCGTTCACCGCCGCGTCGAACGCTGGTACCACCTACACACCACCAGACACATGATTGAGAACCTAACAAGTGTGCGCGAGCCATGTTTCGGCACGAATGGGCCGGCTCGACCGGAGTGATACCACGGCCGAGCTGAAAACCGACGTGACTCAACGCTTGTGTTGTTTCGTCGTGTGAATGAGGTTACCGGAGGTCCAATTACCATCCCCCCTTTCCTCCCTAATTCCTGAATCCCCAACAATCCTCAAATTCTACAAAGCGTAACGCACTTGTAACGCCTCTGGTGTTCCAGGTGTCCATGGGCGACGCCAATTGCTTACCATTAGGCGATCCATCTGCTCGTTTACCGGGTTATCCCATAAACAACTCAAAGTATTACTTATACCGTTACTTTGAAAATAGTTCAAATTCGTAAACAAGATGTAAGTTCTGACAGTATTTATGATACTTTCGTATTAGGTATGTGTCTATGAAACTACCGCGCAGGTACAAGTCTAGTACACCGCGTCAAGTACAGCGCTAAATGGGTTAACAAATTGCAGAAAGATGGCAGAAAGCAAACTCAAATTTTATTGGAGTTTAAGGCCTCATAACATAAGATCACGCCTTTTATCCCTGAAGGGGTAGGCAAAGGTGCACATTACGGCACTTAATGCCACTGTACAATGTAACACGCACGTTTCACTATTTATGTTATGAGTCCCATGTAATAGGGGGTGAGCCTATTGCCATATACCGGGCACAATTCCAGACTCCGTGCTACCACTGAGAATTTTTTTAAAAAGCTCTGTAATTATTTGGCCGACCCGGGAATCGAATCCGGGACCCCTTACCCGGCGGCATTCGCCCTTACGACCACTCGGCCGCGAGGCAACGAGCAACCAACGAAGCAAGGCCTCAATAAAACTTATCAAATATCTCACCTCTTGAGGGTAGCACACAAGTTGCCGATGCAGTTTTGCGTCAAACGCTTTAATATGTTCACAGTCTACATCTAGGAAAGGCTCCTCCAAAGTGTTGATTTCTTCCAGTTTTTGTTCATACAGTGGCTCGTTGGTGATGGCGGTGGGTTCGACGAATCTTTGTATGAATTTGATGAACTTGTCTCGGCACTCGGCAATGGCTACGTCTGTGCCCCATACTACCAGTTGCGGTTCACTCGATGGGACCTCTGCTCCAGTGTCATCAATCTGGGGAAAATGCCATTATTATAAGTTAGGAGACGTCTAAGTACTGCCGAATAGTCAAGCCCCAGCAAGGTGTGTGGAGTCCAGTAAGCCTAGCAAAAATTTAAGAAATGGTTGAACCTGCCTATTATCGACAAGGAATAGTATCTGTGAGATGTCAACGCGTGCAGTTATTTCATCTATAAACACTGACTCTTTCTTTTTTTTTTAAGGGCGGAAAATCATCGAATCACTGCTCCCGCCTGGGTGAGGCGGGAGGGAGTGTCAGACTCTTACTGACTAAAAACCACCCCGTTCCTTCTCCTGCACGTCGACCCAGAGCTCTGGTTACCCGTTAGGTTCTCCGCGACAAACACTGACTTTAGAAAGATTTTTAGATGTAATCGAAAGTTAAACAGCCTTTTTCACGAACTCGCAAGTAAAGACTCTGTAGAACCAAAATTATGACACACAGAACGAAATAAAAAGACAACCAAACTGACAAGTTTCATTAAAAAAAACCCCAAAAAAAGTCATGAAAAAATCCAAAAAAATATGATAAATAAAAAAATAAAATAAAAATTGATAAAAAGATGCGCGACTCGAAATGTGACTTGTTGATGATAAAGCCGCGTGTATCTAACCATACATCCAAATGTGAGTTCAAGTCCGCAACAAGTTTAGAAGTGAAAGCATCATCTATAATAAGCAGTTGTAGGATCTGCCTGTCTGCGTTGCTAGACCCCGCGGTCTTAACGTGCGGCCACAGGTTCTGCGAGAAGTGCCTCAACCAGTACTGGCGTATACGGGACAAGCCGGACTATATCGTCTGTCCGCTGTGCCGTGCCTGCGCCTTTAATGTTGATTTTGCTAAGGTATGGAATGAGTGTACAAGCTGATTTACTCATAATTTAAGCAATAACATAGAAATAAAATCATTGGTAGAATCTGCAAAGAAAGCTTTGAAAGGTTGTAATTTAATGAATTAAATTACACCCTTTCAAAGCTTTCTTTGCCATGTCTATAAAGGTGTTACATAATGCTAGACTGCATATTAAGTGCAGACATTTAAAAAATTTTCTTTTCTCCATCAGAGAGAAGAAAGAGCATCAACAGAGGACTTCAGAAAGATGTTCACGGAGATGTCAAATATCAGTGATTATAATGTGAACAATGCTATAATACTATGTCTCAAGCTAAGTGTGCTGATGCCTGCATTCTATTGGCTGGTGAAGTGGCTCAAACTACCTCTAATAGATCTCTTCACCAACATACATCACAAATTGATAAGTAGACTGTGAATATATTTGTACTGTTCATAATTTATATGCTGAATAAGGTATATGTACAAACTTTACTATTTCATGTTCTATAAAGATGTTAAAGTGTATGTACTTGTTAGTGCTATACTGAAACTGATTACATACACACTTTTTGAAACTAGAAATTTTATTTTCTTTCTTCATCAGATATAGATTGAAGTTTTGAGTATATCCAACTGAGTAGAGTAATTTCAAGTAGTAGAGGTTTGATGACCAGTATGTTGTAGTAGTAAAATTTCTGTTGGAATATAGATATCTGAACTGATAATTGTATTAGTAAATTCGATTATTTTTTGGGACAAGGCTGTAAACGAGCAGACGCATCATCTGATGGTAAGTAATCGGTGTCGCTCATGGACACCAGAGGTGTAACAAGTGCGTTACCGTCATTTTGGAGATAAGTAATTTGAGGAATGTTGGGTATTCAGAGATTGGGGAAGAGGTTTAGTTAGGTCTCCGGTAACCTCACTCACACGACGAAACAACGCAAGCGTTGCTTCACGTCGGTTTTCTGTGAGGCCGAAGTATCATTCCAGTCGAGCAGGTCCATTCGTGCCAAAGCATGGCTCTTCTACACTTAAAATGGTAATGGTAAAATGGGATGGGGTGGTAATGGTAAAATGGGATGGGGTGAATAGATACAGAAGAGGGATGAACAACCATTGGGAAAATAATCTAACATCTATTCACCACATTCCTGTTTCTATTCAACCTTTGAATTCTATTCACTTCATTTAACAGTCAATAATATGATGAGATTACTATGTTCATAATTTTGGCACTACATTATAAAACATTGTTTTAATTTCATAGCTGGTTTGATTTGACAACTAAATTATACTAGTTTACCCTAATACCAGCAGTCATAATTAGTTAAAAGTATCTGTTACCCACGACTTCATTTGAATAGAATATGAATTATAGAACATAACTTTGTTTTCTTTATTATTCCGAAATAAAATTAGCCTATGTTACTCCCTAATAAATCAGCTACCAACTAACAAAAGTCTTGCAAAATCCGTGCAGCCATTCTAGAGATTAGTACTGGCAGACAGACAAAAATCATAAAAAATATTATTTCAGTATGTCATATTTATGTGCATGTAGTAAAAGGCTACCCACAAACCCTATTTCAATGTTATATACAGACACTGTATAGATATGTATCTACTAACCCTCCTAGTCGGTGTAGGAGCTGGCACACTTCTACTATGTTGTCCACTCTTCAGATCAGCTCTTTGCCGGGCAGGAGTCATAACTCCTCGCAAGTTGGAGCGAGGAGTGCTCAGAGAGCTTGGTGTACCGTAGTTAAGTGGAGAACTCATATCTATGTCTGTGCCTGGAAAATGAGATTATCAAACTTACTTTATTTTTACTTATTTTTTGAGTATATTTTCACTGAATGTTAAGGCTAATAAGGGTGATTTTCAAGGCGATTTATAAATTATGCATGTCTATAAAAAGAGTTTTACTTGAAGACGAAAGAACCTTTTAGAATAATGTATGTTGAAAAATTTTGGAGGAGGAGCTTATAGGAAATATTATATCACAACAGAGGCCTTAGTACGAGTTTGTTTTACATTTATTTATTTATTTATTATTACAACACCTTACAATATGACATCTTACAGTTTATTCCAATACAATATCACATTTCCTGACACATTTAAGTCCAACATGTAACTTAATTAATAAAAATTTTACCTTAATTATTAGACTTATAAGAGTTACATACTCTCAGTATGGCATACATATTATAACCATATAGACACAATTACTCAATACGGTGATATTCAATATACCTTTGTACTGCTTCAATAAACCTTGGTAGGTTGTGGAACAAATCATGTTCCCGCGTTAATGGCGCTGTGATTGGTTGCTTCATTGGTGCCGGCCAATCAAAGCGCCGAACGCGTACTCGTTTCGAATACTTTTAACGAAAATCAAACTCGTACTAAGGCCTCTGACCTCTTTTTAGATAAGATTCTAATTTGAAAAAAATATTAAGTACATAGAAGTTAGTGCTTACCCAGTGGACTGGATGCCATGGTACGAGCTGGTGATGTGCCTGGTGCCTGGCCGCCAGGAGTGCGTGGTGACCTTCTAGGTGTACCCGAAATTTGAGGAGTTCCTCGTGGAGTGCCAGGTGTGCCATCTGGAAATTAAAATTACTTTTATGCTATTTTTATATAACTTATAAGTCGCTCGGGTGATACAGAAGTTTGGATTTTGGAAAATGAAAGTACACATAGAGTACATAAAGTATTGATTCTGAAATTATCATCATCATGGAATAGAATGAAATTACCATACAATATAGTAATTTTAAGTAGAAAATTAAGACTTAAACATCAATTATTAAATACTTATAACTAGGCGTATAAAACTAAAGCGTACTTTTAGAAGGGGTACCGGTAGAACGCTGTGGAGTTTCAGGTACAACAAGTTGTTGTGACGATCGTGTTCTTCGCGATGGTGTTGAAGCATCTGACGATGCTTGTGAAGACGGTCGTTTAGACGGAGTCGACATTTTCGTCTTTGTACACTTTTCACTGAACTAAACGAAGTTTTTCAATTATTATGTAAACACTAAACAATGACGGCGTTCTCACAATAGGTTACTTTCCATTTGGCGCGAAAATGTGACACTGTCTGTCAAATATCCGCACTGGCCGCAACGGTTAATACTCTTTAGTAATATTACTAAATCAATTTAAATGTGTAATTTTAGGAACCATTTTTATTGTCCTAGTTAGTGCATTAATTATTTTATAATATAAATTGGACCAATTAACTCATTCTAAGTAGTAATCACGATTAGGAAAAAATTATAATCGACTAGGACAATATCTATGAACTGGGAACATCTCTATTGTTGTCAACTTTCCATAAACAAGTGAGTTATCTTTTTTAAATCAATTGATCGTTCATTCACCGCTGATGTTTTTACGGTGTTATTTTATGATAATAAATAAATATAAACGATAATTGCGAAATAAAAGCGATTGTAATGCTCAGCAGTATTTAAAACTAGTGCAATAAAATTATCAGAATCAATGTTCTATGCTAAAATATTGATTGGCGTTGTAAAAGCTATCTTTGTGCAATCTACCTGCATTGTAGAAAATATTTTCGTGAATAATTATCTTTGACGGGACAAATAAGTTTTAAATGGACAATGTTTAGCGTATACGTCTTAGTGCGTAGTATGCATGTTTACTAGTGATTCAGCAGTTCTCCCCCAAGGGCCGAAGATATTTTGGTAAGTATCGGTAGGTACCGCGATGAATCATTTTATCTCTCTGTGCATTTTCATTGTAAGGTTCTGGGATATGCTGCTGACGATTAATATTTAATTACATTGGGACTCCGTGCCGTGTAGACCATTACACAATAAATACATATTGTATGAACAAATGAAAATGGTAATTGATGCCTTCCATTTTTTAATTTCATTATAAATACAATAATAGGGTAAAAATAAAGTTTAAGAGATATTCTAGCTTACCAACTCTGCAAAGGAAAACAGACAAGCTAAGGAGTTCACTCTGAGAGCAGAGGTTTGTAGTAGAAAATGTAAAAATAAAAATTAATGTTATTGTTTATGAAAGTAAATTCAATAACATTGTTATGACCTTACACTTTAGTGAGCATTTAGGATGTCATTAATTAAAAAGCTTCATTATTGTTGATAAGTAAAATCAAGGGTCACATAGAATCCATAGTAATGGCCTTTTCACTTTCCCTCTTCAAAGTTCAAGGTAGACTTACATTATTGATCTTGAGTGACTTGACTCTTGAGGCTTTTTTCTAAATAAAAAAAGCTAGTCTCTGGTTAATGAACTATGCTAGTTCTTTTTTTATATTTCAAATGCTATTCTTTTTTTGAATTCTTGTTTACTTTGATTCCTATTGGTTTTTAATAAGTAAAAAAGTCAACAATGAAATGAATACCCCATTTTTAAAATATGTATACTGGTTTTTCTTTTATGTAAAAATACCCCTTGGTTGAAAAATAAGTAACATTTTATAATTCATACATGTCATGTTTGCATGTTGTGCCATTGAGGTGAGAGGTCAATGACCTGAGTTGCAGTCAATGGACAAAATTTTTAATAACTGACACATGATGAGATTTCATATTTATAATTTTAGAATATTATTAATCTCCATCTTGTAAGTGAAGTGTGATTTGTAGTTTCATATTTTATATTTACAATTTTGTTTAAGATGTAGGTAAGTAGATAAAAAATATTCATAGGCAAGCTTTTATAAGACAGAAGTGTAGATCATTATGCCTAAGTCTGGTAATATGGTTATTCATAGAATAAAGTTTAATTAATTACACTTGACAATTAAACCTAATTCCTAATTTGTTGACTTTAAGAGTTATTAAAAAAATATGTACCTAGGTAGGTAAGTGTACATCACTTTTAACACACAATAACATAATAAAGAATTTAAGATTCATGTATGCTGTGACCATAAATTGGTTTACAAGTGAATCAATGACCTCACTGGGTCAATGCAAGGTCTTAGAGACTGTTGCACTAAGTACTGTGTGACTCAACTAATATCCTTTTATTATTGTTATGAAATCTTCTCAGAGCTTTAGTTGTTGTTAGACATAGATTGTTGCTATTCCAGGAGGACTTATTAAGTTCTATTTACCCTCTCAAATTAAGAAAAGCTTCAAGTGGGTAGGTAATTAGTTTTCTTATTAGAAGAAAGTGCCTAACTAATCCTATTGATACTTTTATATTCTATTTTGTTTGTACTCGTTTTTTTACTATAATTTGCTTACAAAATGCGAATGTACGATATTATAAAAAATATCTAATTCCAATCATAAAATATTTTCAAAGCCTTGCCCCCAAACCAAAACATTTGAACGAAAAAGGGAGCTTCTACCAAGTGCTGATTAAGGAAAACTATTGATTTCTGTAGCCGTGTAAGGGGGCATATTTCTCGTAATCTCAAGGAAGGTAATCCTGCCTACCCTTCGGAAAGCGAGATCGCATGCGCCAAGCGCTGTTCACCCCTCGAGCGGGCTGACGGGCTCCGCAATTATATGTACATAAACATAACTGTACCCCGCGTACTACGCACTACGCACCTACGCACATACATAGGTATCTATATATCTCCAATACTTGGGAACATCGTACGGACGCACGTCGTTGTTTGTTTACGTTTTCGACGTAAGAATACGTTGGTTGTTAGCTCTGGTTTCCGCAGTTTTAGAGTCGAAAGTATTTGGAACATATCAGCTGCTGCTCGTCCCACGCTTCTCGAAAAATCTATAAGCGGAAGGGCTCCTAAGATACGCAGTGACGCTCGTCACCCCTCTAACTGTATCTATGCGAGATGCTTTTACTTTCATTATTTATGAATCAACTGGCATATCTGGGCTTTAATTCAGTTTGGAAGCTATACAATGCCTTGGGTTGGTCAGAGACCATTGAACGAGTTTGTTTTATGTTTAAACTACGCACGAAGCGCTTCGCATCAAGCTTCCTTGTGCGTACTGCTAAGGAGTGGAATTCTTTGCCAGAGTCTGTATTTCCTGAAGGGTGTCTTAAAGGCCCGAGTGAAGAGGTTGCTTATCGGACGACGTGCTCCATCGTAGACCGCATTATTGCTTACCGCCAGGCGAGATAGTGGTCAAGCCCATCAAATATATAATAAAATAAAATTGAAATCAGATTCGCCGGCTTCAATAAACCAACCAATCACAGCGCCGAACGCGGTCTCGTTTCGATTATTTAACATACAACATAGTCGTTCTAAGCTCTCTATTATGGAGATTGTATTGAAGTAGTGTTAGTCCAGTCACCGTATTTGGTCTTCCGAAAAAACCAGTATAGAAAGGTCCTACACATAAGTTTTACAAGACCAGAGACCATTCCAGAACTATACCCCAATATTATACAGTGTACGACTTAAAATCAATACAACATGGGCGCAGTATTTTGTAACGTTTCTGGCAATACATGATGCATCACTAATGGCACTGTTGACCCTTCTAATTAAGTAGAATGCGTGCGAGTGCATGGAAATAGTTTACGTACAGTCCATACGTACAAAATGGACAAACACGAAACCTTAGCCGCGATCGAGAAACCATAGTTTAACGTGAACTCTGTCTTTTGACGTAGTTAACTGAAAAACAATGTTAAACTTTATAAAAAAGGATTGTTTTGTGTGAATACTTTTGTTTTTCAACTGAAGAATAGAGTTGCTTTCAAGAACCCTGTTTTCAAGAAGTCATGTAACGCTGTTACGTAGCTATAATCATTTTTATACAACCAAACATTCTTATAAACACTAAACAGCGTGAAATTAAAAAAAATCCACATTATAATAAGCACTCGAAAGAAGTGTTTACCTTGAAAGACTCGAATCGTGCAATAAAATGCCACATTGTGGTATTTTCTCCTTAGATGAGGCTCAACTCGAAGATGAATCACCAAGAGAGATAAATAAGCAAAACATTCAAGGATGAAATATATAACTTAATATTGCTGACCTCAACCTTGTTGGAGAAAAGCAACGAGATAGATCCAAGGATCAATAATTGTATTAGCTGCTTTAACCTCGCGCATAACTACATCACAACATGTGGTTAGAAGTTCAAGAAAGCTCTACACACGTCACGTATTTCTTTGTTTGATAAACATGTAGAAACTGATGATATCAGACGCTGGCATAGATGATTAAAATACGTAATTTCATAATAAGCAGAGTCACGGTTTGATTGTATTATTGCATCAGATTTATCGCGGAGATTAATAACCGGTCTGAATCTGAAATAAAATCTCTGAATCGATATAAGTTTTTGACTAAAACTCCATACAATTAATGTCAAAAATCGATCATAAACCTACGATTTGTTTTCTGGAACCAATTCAAGAAACTGTGTCTAAATCTACGCTACAATTTAGAATTAAGCAAATAAATAATTATAAGTAAATAAATGAGTAATTTGAAATGAATTGTTTAATCATTATTTGGAAATTAGATAATTTGTATATTACATTGGATAATTCTAGAAATCTAGAATAAATCATGTATTATTATGATAGTAGTTAAGTAGTCTAGCTCTCAAGAAGATGAAATTGTTTCGGTCAAAGTTACTAAGCTGAAATCCTATGTTAAGTACATAGGATTTCAGCTTAGTAACTTTATTCAGCTAAACCTCTAAACGTAGAGGACATAAATATAACTGGTTTGCTGGTTTCAATAGAAATAATTCTATAACAGACTAATTTGGCTATAATTTTACCACTTATAGCCAAATTACAGCTATACACAAATCAATGTAGAGAAACAATATTCTTCTCCTGAAGATTTTGTTTTGATAGTATTAGTACATAAGCGAATTCGACGGTATGATTGGATTGGCTGTTCGTGTTTTACGACGCTTCTTTGGCGTGTTATGACATTTTAGAAGTTGAACCACTCGCTCAGTTTATGTTTGTCGCTTTTTCAAGTTCAACCTTTATGTTATTGAAAGGATTCTGCGTAAAACTCGGCATTGTCAAGGACTGTTTTGTGAAAATTTACAAAAAGAATTCGTAGAAAAAGTTCGAAACTTTGAAGGTCAATGTAAGGTGATTTTAATTGGGTCGGAAACCTACAAAAGAGTACATAACACGGGTTCTTGAAAAATATTTCAAATGTCACAGTTTTGCAAGTCGATTTCTGTGAAATTACCACTATAACATAAGTCCACATAACATAAGTTTTAGTTCCATGGGCTAGACTCTTATATCAAAATTCTATCTTCAGTAATCAAGTCTGCCGGCTGATAGATTCTTGGGAGAGGTCGTAAGTGACTAGAAATCAAGTCTATGTATTTAACTTGCGACCTATCCGCTGACTTATATTAGTTTCTCTGCAGAAAGCGTGACGCAATGTAGTAACGAGTATCATATTTCGTTCAGTGCAATCACCTGTCGGGTGATATGATTCATATGCTTTAAAATATACGGCGGCTGTGAAAAACATGTGGAACTGTAGTAAACATCTCCATCTTGAGACTAAGGAGCTATATTGTCAATATTGTTTGTTCATTGTTGATGGTAGAAACGTTTGTCGAACGTCCTCGTGGTATTTACTGTATAAGAACTACAATAACTTCCTCATTGGCCGAGTGTCGCATGTGCGACTGCCGGGCAAGTGGTCTCGGGTTCGATTCCCGGGTCGGGCAAAGTAATACTAGGTTTTTAAAAAAATCTCAGTAGCACGGAGTCTGGAAATGTGCCCGATATATGGCACTAGGCTCACCCCTTATTACATGGGACTCATAACATAAATAGTGAAAAGTGGGTGGGCAAGTACAAAGTTACAGTGGCATTAAGTGTCTATCCCTTCGGGGATAAGGCGTGATGTTACCTATGTTATGTGAACTACAACTAATGTTCTTTATATTGTAATGTTCACTGGGCCTCATTTGCTGGTTTCTGTGCACCACTGGTCGCTTACTCATGACATGACACTATACATGTGTGGACTGGACCGAAGCAATCTTGCTTTGGAATGCTCAATGTTTTTGTTTCAGAAATATAAATATAATTTACACTCAAAGTTATTCTTTTCGTCTTACAATTAACTCTAAATCATTTGGCCTAGGTACGAGTAATTTAGGAGGACATTTCTATGAAATCCACAATTTTCTCAGATGTTTTCAGTTACATTATGCCTTATGAACTATGAACTATTATGCCTTTTCATTACATTAACTGGAAAGTCTTGGAAAAAGTTAAAACTAAATGAAATGTAACTATCTAAGGAACAAAATCAAATTACCTATATTTAGCAAGTTAGTCATAATTACCACGTGCTTACTAGGTGTTGGGTATCGACGGTGTAGCCCGAACTACACAAACCTATTGTTTCACTTTAATCCCACAAAAAAAGCCTCTGGTAATTTTCCTACAAATGTACAAAGAATTTTAACTACCCTTAGAATATTATATTGTATTCTGTATTGTATAGGTATATTGTTCGCTACATATTTACGATTTCAAAGAATTTCTTACCTGTACTTTCTTTAGTATCGTAACTATCTATAAAAACTTTTTGTACTTCATCTGTCTATGTTGGTTTCGCAGGTACATTTTCATTGTTTGGTACTGTTATCCTTATCATATTTATTATGTTAGAAGTATTTTAGTTATGATTGTGTTATTTGATGAGTCTGATATGAGTTACGCGTCACTTGTGTGAGTGTTATCTTGTGCGTAAAATGGCGTCACCAATCCATAGTCTACGGATCATTCCGAATAGTCTCCTTCAATCAACTCTCACAATATGCGCAGCATTTTTGTGATTATGTTCTTAGAATTAGATAAACAAGTATTTAGTGTTTCTTAGTTAGTATTCGAACGGTAATTTGTATCGTTATTCTAAATATTTTAAAGAGCTCGTGGTATTTACAGTCTCTAATGTGCTTTTAATTACCTAAAAGCAAATATAATAAGAATGAGGTCTTTACTTTGTACCGGCATGTAATTAGTATAATGTATTTAACTTATTCACTCCGAAATTATCGGAGAATGTTTTTCAATTATCATTTTTAATTGCGTCTATTCTTCCGTGCAATAATATTGGCCGTGTAAATACGACGCCTTTTCAGTTCTTGAGGTACGATATTGAAATAATCCCTTATCATTAGATGATTATTGAAGAGCGACAATTTATGACTACTTACAGAATCTACCTTAAACACGATTTTGAATCAGAATAAAAACCATTTAATACCGATATTCAAAATCTGTTGAGCAACGATTTCAAGCTAAAATATACTGGGTAGGTTCCACAATTGGTAGCACTCTCTAAGGACTATTTCTTTCGTGTTATTGCAGCACCTTTATTCGTGGTTTCGCTCTTCGTAGAAAGTAGGGGCAGCTAGGGAAGACATCGATTTTCGGCACCCTACGCACTTGTACAAAGTTCGGGGACCGCGGGGGCGTCAAGATGGCCGCGACAGGGCCTACCCGGACCTGCCTCACGCGCACACCCAACACAAGGTCACGGTGCATGTACTGCCACCGCCGCGCTCCCAAAATACAAAATCTCGATAATAGGAAACACTTTCCGTCCCTTTCTTTTCTATTACTATTACGTATGTTCTCTGTCGTACATCCGCTTTCGTCCGTAGATTTGTTATTGTCGATAGTAATGTATTTACCGAATAGTTGATCGAGTACATTTTGGGTTGGAATCGTGAAATGTATAAAATTAATGTCAATAAGCAAACATAAATCATTTATCAGTTCTTTAAGTGGGCATAGTGCACAAAATGAACTATAACCCATTTAATAGTTACAACAAAACAACGATATAAATTGAAATAGACTTGCGAAATTATATTTTTATTGCATCCAAACGCCCTTCCCTTGCCAACCCTAATCATAGCAAACCTCCTTATCTAAATTATGGAAAATTTTGGAATGCGACACAAAGGCTCTCTATCGCACCCTCGCCTATCACTGTTGCTATCTCACTCACTCTTTACCTACGATATCACAAGGGGTAGTGGTAGGGGCACACAAAAGATTTTGGGATGGTTTTTTTTTCGCAAAGTGCACCACCACATGAAACGACTCAGTGCAACATCAGTTCATCGCAGGAGCATCGACAGGGTGCACCTCCAGCGCCCATCAAGTTATTCATAGTTTATATTAGTTGAGAGTGTCAGTCGTCTGCGATTGCGACTACAGGGAGCTCGTGCCCTAGAGTTTATTTTTAAAATGTAAGTAGACTATAATATTATTCCACTAAAACAATTAGGTGTTGAATATTTAATAATTTTATTTGTAAGATCAAGGCTCTCGTTTACTTACATGTTTATTCGACATTTTAATACTGTGTTGTGAAATATCATTTCGGTCGGCATCAATTCCTAACTTCATAATTCTAAACTTCAAAACTTCATTTAAATAAATATAATTACAAATGTAAATAATAGGTATGTTTAAAAACATATCGTTAATCTTTAAACGCATGTGGTATTTTTTAATGTCCAAGAAAAAATTATGTTGTTAACGCATCCCAGTTTCTGAAACGGTCATTATTATTTTACCTCCCAGTGTTTTACAAAAATAAAACCGTGTTTGTTTTGTTACAGCTCTGATGACGTAACTTGAAACGCCTAACAATGACGTCATTTGCAAATCTGACGCAGTCTCTAGCATCGAGTCTGCCATCGACTTCGGGTGCCAGCGGCTCTGGTCATAGCTCTAACGACCAGGAGGATTCGCTGGCCATGTCGCATATTATATGCAACCTCCTGGAAAATATGAATAATCCATCGAGCCTCCAAGGCGGAGCGTCGAGCTCAACATCTTCCACCTCGCAGTATGACATCTGGGCCCTGCCAGCGCCCACCATGCAGAATCCGCTGGGACCTATAAGCCGTGAGTACAATTCCAATAACAACCATCATCAAGATAACTCGAGTGGCTCACCCGGAACCTCGTCCTCGGTGTCGATCAACTGCTACCGCTGCGACTCCCGCAGCCCAACGATTCGTTGTCTCGAGTGCAACGATTTGTATTGTCACGACTGTTGCCATAACAGTTCGTCTGAATGTCAAATTCGAGAACACACGCTGCTTCCTATACACCAAATATCGCCTATCGGTGTCAGGCCTAACTCTGAAAACTATATATCTACTGTTAATATGAGCCACATAGAGAAAGATTACATGTTCTGCGAGATACATGGTGATCTCGTTAGATATTATTGTGAAGCGTGCATTATCTATATATGTAACGAGTGCAAGTTGTGGGTGCATAAAAATCATAGTCATTTTCCCATTAAAGGTGCTCTGGACGTCAGTCGCGTCGGTCTTTTTCGGTGTATAGACAATACAAAGAGAGGTACAAAAGCTGTAAAAACTGCAATAGATCGCGCTGTGATTCTGTCTAAAGCGTATGAGAAAGAAACAGCAGAGGCCAATATGAAAATAAGAAAAGCGATGCGTTGTTTTGCACAGGCTATCGAAGATAGGGAAAAATATTTGTTGGATAAGGTAGAGAAGATGCGTCAACTTAAAATGAATGAACTCTCAGATCACATGAATACACTGAGAGGTATTTTAGCCGGCTTATCTCACACGAATGAGACTTTAGTGCGAAGTATACACTTTGAAGGGGTAGATTTGTACTTGGCAAAAGAGAAAGGAAAACAACAAGTTGAGTATTTTGCTAACACATTTAAGAACATGTACGTGTCAGAAGATCGAATCATTTTTATCCCCCCGAATTACGAAATTGTGGACGTGCTGAAGAGACAGTGTGATCTGTATTCCACACCATCAACATCGTTGCCCAGCCTGCCATCGACGTCGTCATCGTCTCATCAGATGATGCCTATGCAGCCTTCTCAGAGCATGCAGCAGGCCCATTATAATATGCCAGGACCTAGTAATATGAGATCGGTACAGGACTACGCAGGGCCATCACACTCGCGTTCGAGCAATTATTATGATCAAAACGTTTCGTCGACCTTAGCAATTGAATCTAACCATACTCGTGGTACAGGTCAAGCGATATCTGGATTTTGGATGGCTGTGTCTGTAAGACCCACTAGGAGCCCAGTTCCTGGAGTTCCAATGCTCTCATTCGCTCGCGAAGGGCAGGACGAAGGACAAGTGTCCAGACCGTGGGGCCTATGTGTAGATAGAGAAGGAAATATCATTGTTGCTGACAGAAGGAACAATCGAATTCAGATATTCAGCTGTAGAGGTGAATTCAAAACAATGTTTGGATCTAAAGGCACCGGGCCGGGAGAGTTCGATCTTCCGGCTGGTATCACTACTGATAGTTTTGGACGCATTATTGTGATTGATAAAGACAATCATAGAGTTCAAATATTTACATCTTCTGGTAACTTTATTCTCAAGTTTGGTTCTTTCGGCAAGGAATGCGGACAATTTCAATATCCTTGGGATGTTGCTGTAAATTCACTGGGTAATATAGTTGTCACCGACACGCGTAATCATCGTATTCAACTGTTTACTAGTGATGGAACTTACATAACCAAGTTCGTCTTTGAAGGTGCTAACCCGGCTAAAATGCTGAAAGGACCTACAACTCCTAGAGGTGTGTGTTTCACGACATCAGGCAATATTATAGTGTCGGACTTCGAGAATCATCGTCTGCTAATGGTGGACCCAACTCTATCTAAAGTGTTATACTGTGTGGGTCGTGAAGGTTCAGGAATCGGTGAACTTAATCGTCCATCGGGGATAGTGACTGACGATGACGGACGTATAATAGTCGCCGATTCTAAGAATCATCGTGTGTTAGTGTTTACGTCTGAACTTCGCATACTGTGGGCCGTGGACCTGAAGAGTCCCGGTCTCGACGACAAAGACCGGCCCAGCGACGTGGCACTCACGCCAGAAGGCTTCCTCGTCGTACTGTTCGAGACGCTCCCCGACACCGCGCGCGACATTTCCTCCCACGGCAAGCAATACATCAAAGTATATTAAAATAATATTTTTATTATTGTACCTAATGTTAAGGCCAACTAAGTTCGTGGACCTAAGGTCATCCGTATATAATTTTATTTTTGTCGATTTATTTGTGATTTATTTGACAATGTGCCAATTTTATTATTAACGTTTGGAAAAATTCAATCGAGCATAGCTTGCGCGGAGAACTTTAGTTTGCCCATCAGCCTCTAGTCGATCGATGGACAGCGATGTGCGAGCTATGTTCTCCATGAGTCCTGATGTAGTTTTTGTTACCAGTTCTTTGATTTTCGTTTCCACATTTGGCTAGTCTCTAAGGACCAAACAATGTTTGCAGTGTAACTTACAATGTAAAATAGACGCCGCAAGTATAAATATCATAACCTGTATAACTGTAGAGCAACACCAAACTCATAGTCGGTGCACTAAATATTTAAAGTCGATTACTATGTATTTTCCGGTCCGATCCCTGCGATGTATCGCTAAAATAATCGAATAGAGAAATCATAAAGATAAATATTATAGATAATCACAATGTGATGTAAAAGATGTTTTTTATGTGAGATAAATTAAAGGATAACTTGAAAAGTATTTTTCCACAATGTTAAATTTTACGTTTTTTTAACTTGGTTAAATTGACTAATGCTGACGTTTGATACGTATTTTTATGATAAGTTATTTTTGCATAATGATTTAGGTGCATATAATTATGTTTATTATAGTCAAGCATGCGTCGGGACGGTGGGGACGCTCGGCTTCGATTATGTTCGTATTTACTTCTTATCGCTTTTTCTGTTTGTTTTTCGCGGCTTGATACGATGGGATGTGAAAATGTATGGATGAGCAAAAGAATCAATGCAATAAAACTTTAAGACTGACTTTAGAAGACTGTCTTAAAGAAGTTGAGTTGCTCCGCCACCGGGGGGCGGTCGGCAACAGGCGGCAGTCGCGACTTGCGGTGTCGCTCGATTTAAACCAAAATTTTAAGTATTATTGTAACATTCGGCAAATAAACGAATACATCGTTTCAAATCTATGCTGATGATCTTATTGTCGTATTTGCTTATGATACGTGATATATTTTATTTTCGTATGTAAAACGTGAAAATGTTTTTTTATATTTTATTTCGTATTTTTTATGTCGCAAACCTTTGACTGCCGGATTGATCGGGTTTATTAAACGTAATGTTAGTCATGAATTAGTATTGAGTGTGAATGAGGTGGCATTCCAATATTTATTTATTTCGATAAATAAATGTAATGCCGGTTGATGGTGTGCGTCAAATGTCGAGTACGGATGGGTACCGCGTACATGCGTCTTGAGAATCGGATAGTTGAGAGTGCGTGCCGCGTATCGCTCTCGAGTAAGTTCCACGCACTTTTAGGCTTCTAGCTAATTGAAAGATAATCTGATATCTAAATTAGTTATGATTTTAATTAATTATTATTCGCGTGGTCGTATACAATTTTCTATTAGTTCAAATATTATAGTAAAATTCTTTTGATTAATAAATGCTATCAAATTGATACGATATTTTTCAAAACATAATATGTTAGGTGACTTTGAGATACACCCCTATATGTGTTCAGTCGGTATGTGTTCACTTAATATAATGAATTGTTAGATAAATAATTTAAACCTAAGTTTAGTTGCATGCGAGATGGTTAAGTTGAGTAACGAGTGACGTATTAGATTGTGTGCATCGATTCTCCCGTCATGGTTTTCAATAATTTGACACCCTGCCATCAGTACTTTTATCTTATTTTCTTTTTCTAACGTCAAGTCTCAAGAGCATTGTCTGATCTAATAAGTTATCCTACAATTTATCGTTTGAAAAGAATTTACAGCTGTTTTTGATGAAATGTAGTTAGAGGAATTGTTCAGTTAAGAAGACAGATTGTATGAAAACCATGTATGTTATACGGGATTAAATCTTCTAATGTATAATGTATTGCTCCAACGGAGAGCGGCGCGGGGGCGGACTGCGTGCTGCGTGCAGGCAACACTTGTAATTTGGTGCAATGTCTCGCGGCGAACAAGTTCCTCGTGGAATGTCATAGCCTGCTCTTTTTCCTGAGCTGGCTATGACATGGGCTGCGAGTACATTTTCATCAAATTATACTTTTCATTTACGTGATTTTTGCAACAAAATCAGTTCCATGAATTACTTGCTTAATTACAAAAGTGTTACAGCTCGTTCGGCCCCCATGTCTTAGGGAATAAAATGTAGTAAATTGAAATAAAGTTAGCTTGAATCTATTGTAACGGCTTACGTGGACAAACTGCACTCGCGGTAGTGGTCGTTCGTTGTGTTAGTATATTATTGTTTTAGTGAATCTGAGTTAACTAGTATCGGCAGTTGCTTCCGCTACAGGCAGTGCATACTTGTAGTCGTAATTTGTTGTAACGCCAGCGAGCAACAGTTTGTCCGGTGGCTCTCGTTATTGTTCCGCGGTAATGTTAGCTGGTGTGTATTGCGTAATCAACGCCACAACTTTCTCCAGGTAAACTAAACTAAAGCATAATAAATTACTAAGTAAGTTACTATACGGCTAGACATAAATTTTCACGTTTGTACTTAGGGTTAAATAGAAATAAGTCTCCTGAATATCCTAAAATGTGAAGCTTCAAACAAAAATTTTCTAGTAATGGCGTGGACAGTAGACATTAAATTAAGGTACTGATATAATTATAGATAACGTTGACTGGAATATGAGTCTGAAATTAATTACTTAAGATGGGAAAATTATTGTTTGAAGTGTAACTATGTGTCGGAAGACAATCAAGTAGGTTTGCATTAAGTATATGGAGTGTGTTTTATTTTCGGTGTAAGGACGCTCGCACAGGCACGACTTTCGCATTAGTAGCCGTCTTTCCGTTAATATTATAATAGGTAATTAATATTACGAATATTCTTGTTACGTGACACGTTACGTGTGTCGTCATCGCCTTAAGTCATATTGTCCCACAGTACAAAAATGTAGTGAAAACCCTGTCCGATCTAAAGGGAATGTATTGTTATATTTTTTTATAATTATAATCTTAAAGATGTGCATTAATATCGTAATTATAAACATATAATGTCAAACAGAGTAGTCGTAAAGTAAGATGGCGTCTATTTTAGTATTCCGCTTATTGTTAAATGGCCTAAACTCATGATACTTACATAGGTATTTGATTACCTAGTGCAATGTTTCAATCGGTAGGCACATTATTTCTAACGCTAATTATGTACCAAGTACATTCCTCGTAGATCGGTCAGGTTTTCTATTACACACTGTTTTTTACGAATACTTGAAAGCTCAGAAGCATTATAGAGTAAATTAATAGGTAATTCTGGTATAACCATAGCGTAACTTTTGTACTAGTTATAATCACATTTATTCCACTTAAAGTGAATTTATAGATATTCAGCATTTTGTAGTTTGAAGCCAAGCTTCTATTAGGCTAAATACAGACTTGTGTAACTCGTAACGTAACGTAACCGTGTAACAATGGGTGTTCACCAACCAGAACTGATACATTTATGTTCATAGGTCTGTAGCCGTAGAGTAGGTTGCTCTGATCTTAATCAATATCTGATCACTGCCATCATTGAGTTAGTAATGCAAACATTTTAGTATATCACCCACGGTCACCGTTCGCCACTGATGATGTTACACGTTGCACAAGTGTGTACTCACTATAACTTACACGATAACTTATGGCAGTTAACGCATTTCAAGTGTACATAAATAGACTAAAGTTATTTTCTTAATACAGGAATGTAAATAACATAGAGTGAATTGTTTACCTTAATGTAATCTAATAAGATAATCACGTACCTATATGCTAACATGAAGTTAGTCGAAACAGTCAAAGCGAAAGCCGTGCCGAGCCCCGCGTCATAATTAGGTAAATGTGCAGTGTCTCGCGTCTTCACGGTGTTGACGAATTCCGCATTATTATCAATTAATCATAAATATTTATCTTTTCCAGTAAATAAGTGATGGAATTTAACATTTACTTTTTGTTCAGTGCCATTATTAAAGTATTACGTTATTTTTAAAATAATGTGTTGCATGAAATGCATTTTTTTATCATTATTATACATTTCAAATAGTTTTCTTGATTTCGGTCACAGTATGTTTTTTAGCTGACAACGAATCTCATAATTATAGTAAATACTGTTTCTATTGTCGTATGGAAGTTAGATAACGGGTTTGCATAGCAACTCCCTTCTTGCGGATAATGTACTCGTAGAGTACTGTCGGGAAATACCTATCGTGAGTTAGGGGCCGTAAAGTGGTGTCTCAGAACTCTTGTCCGGGGCCGACGTCTGATGAAAGGTACGCTGATCTCAGGACTTAACCCATAACTACAAGTTACCTTTATTTAATGAAGCCGTACCATTTCGTCAGACTAGTCGAGAGTAATGAACAGCGAGACCCGAGGTCGTTATTGTACAACTGAGCTGAAAGCTGCTGAAGCATTACTTAATTTTATTATTGCACCTACTTTTGGTATAATTTGGTTATAATTAATTTTTAAAATTATTTTTTTATGTTAAACAGTTCTGTGGATTCCCGACATTTGTTTACTTGTTTTCTTATTAAAAACCTAAAGCGAGCTGATACGTTCAGTCATCATATGCCATGTCACAAAGTTAGCAGAATGCTATGGACTTGCAAGTAAACAGGCTTTACGGATGATCACAGAACCAAGTCATACCTATACTTTATCGTAAAGCGATGTGTATTTTGTGAGATCTGCTAGTTGCTAGCAGTATAATTGTGGTTTTGTGATAAATACAATAAAATTGACAACTAAATGATATTCGAACTTAATGATAATTTTATACAAGTTTTTGATCACGAGGATTGTAAAAGCATTCGAACTGTTCAGTAGTTGAGACACGTCACAATGTTGTGTGAAGAGTGTGAGAGCGAACGTCACACTAAAACTGCATAATAATGATACAATTATGAGATTTTAGCGAATGTAATAAGCCATTTTCGTGCTATTTTTGTAACTTTAT